CTCTCTTTTTTTAGCTTTATTTAAAATTGTAAATTAGTGGCGTCAATGACGGTAAAAGACTTTTTTTTTTCTCACCATGGTTTCCTTTACAAAAAAGTATGCTCGAAAGATATTTAGAATTTTTGACCAGAATCATAGGTTAACCCCTTTGGAAAAATGCAAATTTTTCGACTATAGTGAAATGACAGTTTTATCTTATAAAAAGCGTGGGCTCCTGAAAGCGTCCTTTTGAAAAACAACATCATCAAACGACAAAACCAAGCTTTCCTTTGCAAAAAAGTATGCTCGAAAAATATCTGACATTTTTGACCAGTATCATGGGTTAACCTCTTTGGATAATTGTAAATTTTCAGGCTATAGTAAAATGCCTTTTTTATCGCGATCGTCTAAAAAGCTTCCTTTTGTAAAAACAACATCATCAAACGACAAAACCAAGGTTTCCTTAACAAAAACGTATGCTGGAAAGATATTTGGAATTTTTGACCAGAATCATGGATAAACCCCTCTGGAAAAATACAATTATTTTTTTCAACTATAGTAAAATGACATTTTTATCGTTTAGAAACCCTCCTTTTGACAAGATGAAATCATCAAACGACAATGACAAGTATTTTTTTTAACAGAAACGTACCCTCTAAAGAAATTTTTGTACTTGACCAGAATCATTTGGAAAAATGTCAGTTTTTTGACTATGTTGGAATGACATTTTTATCATTTTACTCTCGGACGTACAAGGCGGGGGGGCGTGGGGGGGGGCGGTGATGTCACACCTCCTAAAGGTTTTTCTGAGTTTTCTCTTAGAGGACAAAACTTCAGCACCTGATGATTCTTGGTAAAATCCAAGCTGGCGATCATTGTTGGTGATGTCACAGGTCCCCAGCTGCGCCACCACCCTTATAACATGCCTCATCTTGCGGATCAAAGGCTTTCCACCGAAGGTAAAATCGTTTTGAAATACTGCAACATATCAAAACCTCTAGGAGGGGTTCCAACCACCCCCAACCCCCCCCCCCACCCCACCACCCGCTTGTACTACGGTGGGGGTATGAATTTCCGTGTACGTCCGAGGGTTAAAAAGCCTCCTTTTGTGAAAACAACAACATCAAACGGCAAAACCAAGATCCATTTTACAGAAATTTAGGCTTGCTAGATATTTGGAATTTTTGAGCAAAATCATAGGTTAACCCCTTTGGAAAAATGCAAATTTTTCGACTATGTTGAAATGACCTTTTAATAGTCTAGAAAGCCTCTTTTTATATACAACATCATCGAACAACATATCTAGGCCTTTTTGAAGAAAAGCGGACTCGGAAGACATTTGGATTTTTTGACCATAATCATGGGTTATTTTGATGAGTCTGAGTGACCCTGATATAATTAGGAACATCCCTATGCTTTCCTTTATACACTTTTCTCCAGTTAGGAACAAGCAGCTAGCATGATTGTGAGGCTACACCAGGATTTTAAAGTTGGATTATTAAATGAGTACGGTTGAAGGAACACTGGTTGTGAGCAGAATGCAAGTAACCTGCAAGGATGAGGCTGCTTACCATTTCTTCTTTTTAGAAACAAGTTTTTTTTTCAATAAACTGCTGTTATCCTCAGGACTTGCCCTCCTTACTTTGTGTTGCAACTTTGCACTTCTCAAAAACCTGATTTGATATAAACAGCTTTTTTTCATTTACAATAGCCGATTTTGCGGTCTGTACACCTCATTAACACCTGATTTGATATTAACAGCTGTTTACCATCTAAAATTGCCGATTTTGAGATATCTGTACCTCCTAAACACCTGATTTGATAAAAACAGCTGTTTACCATCAAAAAGAGCCGATTTTGAGGTCTCTGCACCTCCTAATAACCTGATTTGATAAAACAGCTGTTTACTATCTAAAATTGTCGATCTGGAGGTCTCTCCACTTCCTAAACACCTGATTTGATAAAATCAGCTGTTTTCCATCTAAAATTTAATAGCCGATTTTGAGGTCTCTGCACCTCCTAAACACCTGATTAGTCTCACTTGCGTAAGAAACGAGACTAATAATCTGCAAGCCATTATATTTTCCTCGTATTTAGTACACAAAACGACGGTTGTGGTCCAAGGCGTTCCTAGCGGCGACCATGGAAACTGGGAATAAGAATCGTTGGGTGACCGAAACCACGCATGTTTTGCGAAGAAAACTTAGGAAAGATTAAATTCAGAGCTTTTCCGGGACGGTCGGTCCACGAACAGTCTAACGCATGAAAGCGTTGATTACTTTGGAACAAGTGAACACTTCAGTGGTCGGAAAAAATAGAAGAATCTTTTAATTAGCAAAACTTCGATCTTGAGTGTCGTAAACTTTCATTGTATGCAAATGAGTCTTGTGATGAGCATGCGGTTTATTTTCGGCGATGATTGAAATGACGTGCCATGTTCTCATCACGATTTTTATCATTCTCGACCCCAGTGCTTACATGCGCAGAAGAGCTCTGGGTCGAGATTGTTTTTTTTTTTTTATCTCTGGCAATGATGTAATTTCTCTCTAATTTTTCGTGTAGTTATACACGCGTATAGCCTGCGACCGCAGACGTATTTCCGGTCGTCGCTAACACGCGTACTAAACAAATCATCGACGAGTACGATATAAAAAGTACCGTCGATAAATTAAAGTAGGAAGTGAAAACCTTTAGAGAGTAAATCCTGTTTCGTTTAGAATTAGTAAGCTAATGCGCAGTGCAAAACCAGGGAATTTAAGGGCGTCTATGTCGCCTGCAAGGTTTTGACCTTAGTCCCTCTGCTTAAGGCATCGCCAGATAATTATCCTCAAAGGCTGGTGTTTTCCCTTTTTATTCGGACAGTTGTTTCGCCTGCAGAAGTTCTGTGCAAATTTAAGTTGCAACTATATAAAGCCTCCCTGCTCGTAGTGACTGGGTCTGATTACAATTTCTCAAAATTAGGAAATGAGTCTTTTGTAGAACTAGAACATAGTACGGTGGCCCATAGGGGTCATGCACAGTATTATTTTTCTCATAAGTCGAAAATTCCTATCTCGACTTATAACTCGAGATCTCGAGTTATAATGCAAGATTTCGACTAACAATGCGAGAAGGAAGTAGTTGGAGGGTCGTGGGTTCGAATCCCTATCTACAAAACGAGATATCTAATAATAAGTCGAGATCTCGAGTTATAAGGCGAGATCTCGAGTTATAAAGCGAGATCTCGACTTTAAACAAGAGATCTCTTGTTATAAGACGAAATCTCCACTTATAAGACGAGAACCCGAACTATAACACGAGATCTCGTCTTATAACACGAAATCTAGTCTTATAACGCGAGATCTCTCACTTCTAACGCGAAATCATCTGGACTTATAACTAGAGGTCTCGACTTATAACTCAAGATCCCGTCTTACAATTCGCACAGACTCTGGGAGTGGGGGTAAAAATCTCAGTAGGTTAGAGAGGGGAGTCCCTGACATATACCATGCGTGACCCTTATGGGTCCCTTGCTCGCCATCGAGTCTCCAGTAGCTCAGCGGTTAGAGCATCCGACTAGATCATGGAGGGTCGTGGGTTCGAGTCCCATCTGGAGCTGGGATTTTTTTCCGAGTTTCCATTTGATGCAAAAAACGTATCATGTTCTTGGAAATGAGCAGATGAAAACTGTGCAAAATAATTTTAAATGGGATGAAACTAAGATGAATCTTATTTAAACTTGATCACGTTTTAGAATAATATAGTACTCTTTACTCTAGAAAATGTGATGTTATGACTGCATTATTTATTTGGGACCCAAAGGTTCACTAAACGCAGTGGCCGAGTGGTTTAGACTATATATGAAGTTAAGCGGATTCAAATACTTTTCAGAAGTTCTGCTCATTTTCCGAGCTTTTTTTAAAATATTATTATTATGGCCAAGAACCATTGAAGCATATAACTCAGCCGTAGTCAATTATATTAACTGTAAAGAAAGTCACTGAGCGTAAAGTTCTTTGTACTTTTTTCATAATTTATTAATCAAGTTTTGAATACAATAGACCTTATTCATGATACCTGCCATCTTTGGAGCCGCTTTAGGATTGACGGGATAAAAAACACTGTCACGTGGTTTTCCAGGGGGCAAACAAGCGATAAAATTTGCCATTATGAGTAGTGGAGATCGTGTTTGTTTATTCTATCAAAAAGAGACGACGATTTAATAATCATGCGAAAAGTACAATTCGAGTTTTGACAAGATTTTGCTGTGAGGACATCTACGGTCACATCTTGATCCAAAGAAGTAACAATCTGACAATGACCACTTCCACCCATAACTTGCCATAATATATCGTCTTTAAGATGAAAAGTTCCAAATCTGCCTTTGTCTAGAATAAACAAACTCGATCGCAATTTCCTACATTAGCAATTTTTTTCACTTGTTTGTTCCCCCCCCCCCCCATCCATCAGTCCTTAAGCGCGTGCAAAGATGACGGGTATCGTAAATAAGGTCTTATGCAACACACTCTTGTTCTTATGCAACACACGTAACAAACACTAACATTTTACTTAGTAAAAGCCTTAACGTTTTCAGCATGAAATGTGTACGTCTAAAAAGAAAAACAAAATGGCTGAGGCAATGTTCTTTTTTACCAAGAGAGAGTTAACTGTCATAATGACTTCCATAAAAACCTGCCAAAGTCTTTCTTTACTTGGCTCCTGTAAATACTTTGTTTTGTTCACGCAAGTAAATGTGTTATTGTATCTCACAGTTAACACACGCTACGATTGTTCGATTTAGCGATTTAGGAGGCATCATTTTCACTGCAATGTAAGCTAATTAACAACAAACTTGTTTTGATCAACTGTTTCAAGCAGTTTTACAAGCTACGGTGTCAGTCCTTTTCCTTACTTCTGCGCTAGTAGTTTTATGACAAACGTCAACTAACCTTAAAATCACACAAATACACCTGGTTCTAATAGTTGTTTTTCGAGCAGTGCATACGCTGAAACTGTTCTTGCATGTTTTTTTTTTTTTCAGCTTAAATCTTCCTAGAAATATCGGACATCTCGAAATCAGGCTGGAAGCTTGGAGTCACTCGACCACTTCCCGAAAATCGGACGGCTACCGGACGACTGTTATTACAAACAAACTTCTTCAATAAAAGTGCCACGATCACTAGAAGCAAACCTCCAGAAGCAGACACGGCGATGACAACATACTTTGGACCTTTCTGGGGCACTAATGCGGCTTCCCTTGGTGTGGTCGACGAACCAGGTGTCGGGTCGGTGCCTGTATAGAGAAGATGGAGGAGGCATGATGTGAAAAGTTATCATAAGAGCCTAGTTCTTATTTAGGCTGTTATATACTGATTTCCACCATAGAAGCAGGGTTTCAATTGGAGTAACCGTCAATCGTAAAACGATCGAAAACTTTAAGTCGTTAGGCGTAAAAAATGGAAATATTTAACCGTTAGGGGTAAAAAATGTTCACCGTAAAAAAATTTCTACCAAAAACAGTTGTCATGTAGAGAGTGTCAATATTGCTAGTTATTACTTTGCGTGTCTTATCTCTTTCCTGATAGAGCTATTTCATCCTTTTTTCCTTTTTTTTTTTTCATTCCACAGAGTTCCTTGGAAGCCTTAACGATGGAGACTTTTGAAAGTTATTGATTTTTCTTTTTCAGAAGTCTTTTCACAGTAACGCAGATAAATTAACCGTTGGCCGTGGAAAAGAGAAAATATCAACCGTTAATTAACCGTAAATGTCTCCACACCATTGAGACCCTGAAAAAGCCCTTTACTACCCCGTCGAATCCATATACCCCAAGAACTGTTAGCGTATATTATATATACAGCCTTAGAAAATATATATGCCAACAAGTTAAGCCAATATCTAGGCTTTTTTCTTTTTGCTCTAATTCCGCTCACGTTTTTCTCACAACATGTTAGAAACCTGCAAGCATTAAAAGAGCAAGATGAATTCTTTTTTTTCTTCTTTCCACAGTCAGTAAGAAGTAAAATTTTTTTGTGGGTGTCCCAGAGTCACAAATTCTCTGTCATGGTGGGCTGGAAATAATATGAAATATTCTGCTGCAGTAAGGTGTTTTGAGGAATGACGAGTTCCAGCTAGCTATCTGAATTTAAAGTGCTAAAAATCATAATTACCCGTGTGCTTTACTGATGAGACCTCAGAGGTACTGTCATGATTACCCGTGTGCTTCACTGACGAGACCTCAGAGGTACTGTAATCACCCTTGTCCTTCACTGACGAGACCTCAGAGGTACTGTAGGTATTGGCTACCTCAGATGAAATAGACGAGGTTCGTGATTTTTGGGTGGAAGAGCGATATGGTTTGGTTGGCGGTGTCGTTGTGGCGGAATTGATAACCCTAACCGTCAACTGTATTTCCGTCAAGCAGGATACTTCACCCTTGTCAGCTGCACCAACTATGAGGTAATATTCTTCCCTCGTTGGATTAGAAGTTACCATGATCACACCAGTTATCGAATCAATGTTGAAGGTATCATTATTTGATAGGCTGTACGATATGTCGCCGTTCACGCCATTGTCCAGGTCTGTGGCCGAAACTTTAGTAAGAATACTTCCCGGTTTTATGCCAACGACATCAAGCCGAAGATTTCCTGATGGCTCGACAAATATCGGACAATTATCGTTTTCGTCCGTTACCGTTAGCTGTACGATGGTCATGCTCCATTTCTGCGGGAAGCCATTGTCCGAGGCCAAAAGCGTCATATTGAATATATGGGGGTGCCCCATCTCTAAATCAAACGGTAACAGATTAAAAACTTTTCCACTTGCTCCGTCAACAGCAACAAGGTTCTCAAGGCTTCTTTCGCCAAGAAGCCAATAAAATATCTCTCCATTTCTGCCGTCATCAGTGTCATTAGCATGTATGTGCAAAATCAGTGTTCCAGGGGGAGCGTTTTCTTTAATGGTCGCGTTATAAAGCTCTTGATTAAAGGTGGGTGGGTTGATGTTTGTTTTCGCCTTTTGATCGCAGTACTCGCCATCGAAAGCTGGATAACAGGCGCACTTGTTCACAAGAAAACATTGTCCTTGTCCAGAACAGTTCTTAACTCCACTGCAATCAGGGATGCTGCATGCTGGACCTGACCATGAAGAGTTGCAGTTGCACACATCATATCCAACACACTGACCCTTACCTAGAAAAATAATTGCTTAGGTCTAGTATACACATACACTGGGGTTACAAAGGCGACTGCTCAGCTCTCCTCGATTTTAATTACGAGCTAGAAGTCTAAATGGGCGACTATTATTACTGTCGTTATAAGCTAAGATATGTAACTAAAAGTCATGTCTTCGGGCAGCAAGCAGCACCAGCGGCGGCCGCGTAACAGAGTGGTCAAGGCGTGGGACTGAAAACTTGGAAGTCCGCGGGTTCAAACCCCGCTCCGGCCGCGAGTTGTCCGAGGTATTTTACGTATTTTATCTTCTGCGTGTACAAATTAATGAACGTAAGGTAAATCTTACCGGGCAATCAACACTCACGGGTAACAGTGCCATGTAAATCTCTGCCTGTGACGTCACAGCTTTTGCATTATTTCCCTCTCAGAGACTTTTGGCGGGAAACAGTTTTGTCTTTTATTGTTAGATATCATGTGACCTCGATGTAAGCAGCGAAAGCTCGCCATATTAACAAAAAAATTAGTACAAACATCTTACGTAACATACCAGAGCAAAAATTTAGAGTTTCACAGGAGTAGTTACTACAGTCTATGCCATTGTATCCCTGTTCACATTTACAGAGCTCGGCCTCTATACACACACCGTGACCAGAACAATTGTTTAGTGACGTACAGGTAGGTTGACTGCAGTTATCTCCAGTGAATCCCGGATAACAACTGTGAAAGACAATTCATAATAGCCAGATATTAGACATGTATATGCGACTCTAAGTGGTTTCTTTGTTTTCTTTGGTATGCTAAGGAAGAACACGTTTTCTTGCCTGAATTTGAGGAACAGGACGGGAGAGGAAAGAAGACGGCAAAACCTGTGTGGCAAGCGTGTCAATAATCATATTTGAAAAAAATTTCCGCCAAACTTCACCTTTTTAAACTGATCTTAGTATTGTTAATGGAAGATCGCGACAAAACACTCAAGTTAGAGGCCTGTCACGTTCGTCACACGTTTTGCTGTCCTCTTCTTTCTGCCATCCTGTTGCGCAAGCTCACTGATAATTCTTCAGTTGCATGTGTAAATGGTAATGCTTGCCAATACACAGACAGTCAAAGAAAAGGAAACAAAATCTTCTTGTAGTCTTAGACATACCGGGTAAAACATCGTGATAAAAGAGTGAAACTCTGCTCATTATCACACTTAATAACCCTGGTTGTAAGCCAAATTTAACAATTGAAGGTTAATACGACAATTTCTCTTGTATTTTTTTAATCGAATCTTAGCACATTTTGCATCCGAAGCTACAACCAGTTGCAAAAATGATGAGACACTCCCCTGGAAAAACGACCTTTCTTGCTTTAAATCGCTCCTGGTCACAGGTCTGCAAGATATAATACTGACCTCCCTCCTTCCTCCCATTCACAGTTGTTCCTCCAAGTTTTGAGTATGGTCTTGTATTGCTAACAACTTTGATAAGGGGTGGAGGGGGGATCACAAGCACAAGATCATGGACAGGCCATTTATGCCAACATACGGTACAGTGTCTCAAGTACTTTTGCAACTGGTTGTAGCAAGTTTTGCTCCAGAAAAACAAACAAACAAACAAAATAAAAGCAATAAATAAATAAATAAACAACAACAACATTACTCGACTTCCATACCTACATGATGCGTTCCCTGACGTCATGGAAAGGCAAGTACCGTGTCCGCTACAGTTTGCAAATATACTACAGTCAGCCACTTTACTGCAGCTTGCCCCCGCGAATCCTGGGTAACATCGGCATTGGTTGCTGGAAACACACTCTCCTTTCCCGGAGCACTGATCCACAGCTGAACAATCAGGAAGAGCACAGCTTGCCCCAGTCCAGCCAAAATCACAGGCGCAAGTGTCTAGTGCCACGCAGCGACCACGCTCTTTGAGAAACAACCATACATTACTCAAGGGGAAAAAATAAAATAATAATAATAATAATAACAAAAAGGAGGAACGAAGGGTGGATTCATTTGCAGCATATGTGTGTATAGCCGTCGCAATTTTCATTTTTCTTGAGCTTTAAAACAATAGAAAATTCCAAGGAGCATTTTGTGTTATCATTACCATATCTCAGAGTAAAGGCCCAACAGTCAGCTGTTTACAGTATTTTGTAAGTTCGAGTTGCATGCTTGCTTAAAATTTGGCTTAATCCTGGGTTAAACGTAACCATCTTTCGAGGAACCGGACCCAGGGTAACAGGTGCACTTTGACAGATCAATTCTTTTCCGAACCACTTTGACTGTTTGAAAACGAAAAAAATTACAAACTCAAGCCAAGCAAAATACTGCAAAGAAAAGGTGTCATATACGCCAAAAAAAGTTAATATCTTACCAGAACGTTTCCAATTTGCTAAAATTAAATTAGAGAGAAATTGAAACTGCTTAATTATGCTTGAATGCTACGCGTTTTAAACAAAAAGAAGCTCATTTATTCTGAGAACCATTGAAAAACGTTGTTTCACGAACCAGTTTTTTCTATATCCTTGCTGGCCTTCAACTGACCTTCGACTGAACCTTCATACAGGTTCTTAGGTTTTAAATGTCCTTCAATCTTATAACGAGTCATATGAGACGCCTCCATAATAATTTTAAACAAATTACATCCCATCTAAAGAAGTAAATCCAGAATACAAACTTTACCTGAACAATAATCGAACCGTTCACACGAGTATTCAGTGCAATTACTTCCTGTCCAACCTTTATAACAATGACAGGCACCAAAATCGATACAGAGCCCGTTCCCTGAACAATTTGACACGTTGTGACAAGTAGGCACGATGCTGCAATCAACACCTTAGGACATAAAACATCGGTATCAGTTAATTTCCTGTAATATACTAAATATCTGAGTTTCTATCGACTTAAAAACATTAAAATAAGAGTGTCCTGTTACGTGTCCATAGCAACCTCAGTTACTTTGCAATAACAGACCAAAATACTTCAATAATTTTCCAACATGCCAACATTGTCAAGCGAACTTCTCTCGTCTCTTTCAAAATCAACTTAAGAAAGCCTATCCTATGAGCGATTCTTAACCTTTTCCCTTTTCATATAACACATCAAGTCAAACGTCAATATTGTTGCTGATGATAATTAAAGTGGCTGGGAGACTTCTAGCCTCCCACGCAGACGTTCTTAGGGGTTCATCACGCGTTACTGCCGCGTGACGACTGCCCTAAGAACACCTGCGCCGGCCGGGAGGCTAGGAGGCTAGGAGGCTAGGAGACTTTGGAATTTATAAATATTCAAGAAGTATTTAATCCTTTTAATAATAAGTCCTTTGCACCTCGGCGCCACGTGACCAATCTATGCCAAAATTATGGGATCCAACCTTAAGAATACTAAAAATTGAAAGAGCATCGTCTGCAATTTTGGGGGGGGTTTGAACTCTTTGCAGTGCGATTTTTTAATTGCATAATTTTTCAACTCAGCCCCATTCAATAATTGCTAAATATAATCAGTGATACTTAATCCTTAAAATTGTTATGATTTAGATTACAAATCAGGATGATTATAAGTATGATTTATGGCTACAATAATGACTACCATTAAGTAGTGTACTTACCGAGGTATCCAGGATTGCACTGACAAATATCCGTCTTCTTGCAAGCGCCGTGGACAGGACTTGTGCAGTTGTCAACGTTGTGACAAGTAGCTAATTAAGAAAATCACATTAAATTCATCCTAACCCATTCTAGAAAAACTATTTCCAGTTATTTAAACACCTATTGAAATTTCTTTATCTGTTCGATGAATTATTTACTAAGTTGTTAGGGGAGCTCTCTCGCGCGCAGCGGAGCACCATGGGTAAGAAAATTTGGTTATCTCTGGATGCGGGAAATTTTTGTTGACAAAAAATGTACGTCCACCCATTTACCTTAACCGATGTCAAATGTCTCACACAGGCATTGCAAATTGTGTTGGTCTTGATATTAGACATCCATGTTATGAACAATTGAGAGCGGTCAAAATGGAGTATCCAGCACGTAATTTTTGGCAATTTAATTCAGGAGTAACCATATAACTGGTAGTTGAGTTTAAATGTGGAAATAACCGCTATGTAGAAGGCCACAATAGACATTTACGAAGGTCAAAAGGGATGGCCATGAGAGAAAGGTCGGCTTACATTGAAATCTATTCGCACCTAATTCTAAATGGCGACAAATTTAGTTATACTTTTAAGGCGATCATTGGCCCTCATTGCCTCGCATCAAGGTAAGTTAAAGTTCTTTCCATTCCGTCGATGTAATCAAGGTAGATTGGGGTAATTACCATAATATAAAAGAAAAGTAATATTTTGGAATAACTAGTATTGTACTTGAGTTAAGTTGTAAAAACGTTGGTCTGACTTTGTCAAATAATCGTCAAGTTCTATGCTGGAAAGTCACTCTTTGTGATGTGGTGGTGATTTCTCATAAAAGGCCCTTGCCTAGCTTTTTTTGAGGTGAAATGAGTTAAAAATACTTATAAGTTGTTCAATGCAAAAGTACGCTTTGCACAGTATGGCTAAAATGGTGCCCATTGTTTGCTTGTTTTAACTTTTGATTATACCTCGCAAATAATGCATGTTGTAATTTGAGACAGGGGGAAGGTTTTCCAAGTACAGGACTTTTTACATGTATGAATGCTCTAACCTTTCAACTCACAGCTTTGTCCTTCCCAGCCCAATTCACATACACAAAATCCTTTTACGCAGTTCCCATGGATGGTTGAACAATTTTGACAAGAACCTACAGTCGTTGACAACAGAATATTATTAACATAACATGCTTAATCCTCGAACGAAAGTACATGCAAACCCCACTGTGGTACAGGGAGGAAGGGGAGGGAGGAGAGGGCGTGGTTGATTGGTTCAAACCCCTGTAGCGTTTTCGTTACGATATTTTGAAACGTTTCTACCCTTAAGGTGGCTCGATACAGTTTTTCAGGGCCAATACCTCCCAAGTTTGAGCACAAACTACGTCGCCATAAACAAAGTTTTGGAAAAATTGCCACCGCAGTTGTATTAGATAAAGATGAAAATTTGTTAGGATCAGGGTTGCAATGACATCGGAGTTGTCATAGCAACGACATGACGCTATTACCTATTTTACTTACAGAAGTATTTCTCGGCCCTGGGAACTGTTATTCCCAAATCATTCACGGGAGCGACGTATGGCGACGTATGGCGACGTATGGCGACGTAGTTTACGCTCAAACTTGGTTGGTATTGGCATTAAAAAACTGTATCGAGCCACCTTAATAGATAGCTTCTTACGTTGTCTACAAGATGTTAGCAGTATGGGATGTTTATACAAATGGCAGTACTAGGCCCAGTGACGTCATCCAACATGGCGGACATTTTTTTTAGATTTTTCCTTTTTTTCCACCTTATTTTCCCTGAAAATTTAAAGTTTTAAACTGGAAATACACTTTCCAACGGCTTAGCATGTTAAAAATGCTCTAATACATTATCATGTTTCTTTACTTCTACTTCAGACTTAGAATATTGTTCTGAAAGCTAACGATACTACATTTAATACATTTAAAATTTCAACTCTGGCCATACAACACCTCATTTGTCATTTAATATCTCCTATATGTATGATCCGATTTTCACCAAGTTTACGAGCAGCTACTGAAATGGACAAGCGTCCAGTTAAAATCTTCTTGGTAAATTATCCCCCTGCCCTTTGTACTTGTGCGAGGCCAGGGTTAAGGAGCAAAGTACTTTATAACTGTTTGAAGAAATAAAACCTTGTTCTACATTAAGAGCATTCCTTTCCTTTTCCTGGGAAAGGGAAAGGACTTCCACAGGCAAGACGAACCGCGTGAGCAACAAAGGCACGATGCGCGAGAAGCAAAAAGGAAAAATGACGACGTCTCTTGTCTTCCCTCTCCCCATTCCGTTCACGTTTTTTCCCGCGGTTTTGCATAAACTTTAAATTAAAAAAAAGAAAATTAAAACTGGTTATTAAGCGCGCAGAATTCGGAGCTGTTTCGGTGGTGTTTCTAGGCCTGATTTCAACCCACGGGCTATGATGAATGGCAGAGTGGGCTCAGAAATAGATATCTAATATCGTTCCAGCTTTAATGTGTTCAAACTGCTTCCCAGCATGAATGTATGGCCAGTAATTATCACCTCGTGGCTCCACCGGTTTGAGGGGAAAGCGACGCCCTCTAACAGAATACGAGTCGTCTTTTGCTTAAACGTTTAATACTTAGAGGGTGCACTTTATCAATACGTCTTAAAATACCTTTGTTACAGCTTTCTCCGGTCCATCCGTTGATGCAGCGACATGTTCCATTCACACAGCGGCCTTTTCCTGAGCATTTGTCTGGACAACCTGAAAATTAGGAGGCAGAAAGTTTCCCTGTATTTTTGCTATTTTAATGATTTTCTCCTGTTTAGACACATTTTCCGATTATGATTTGACAACTGCCGAGTTTTGTAAATCAAACAGATAGTCTCATGCCAAGCTTACCTGGTTTGAAATTCTCTTGGTCCGTGAATGTTGTGTCATTAGTTATTGCAACATCGTAAATGCAGCTTTGTAAATTGCTATCAGAGATGCCGATAGACTTGCACAAACTTGTTGCCAACTATTTAAGAAAAATACGCACTTCTCAGTACTAACAGACCATCTCATGTCTCATGGGGGGTGGACGAGAAGAGGGGGAACTCAACTACTAAAGCTATACAGACTTGTGCCAGGGGATAGGACATGGCTTTCGAGGTGCTCAGCCCCCTCTAAAGGGTATCCTTTTTGGCACTGTGACCCTTTAGTACGGTAACTAACTATAAAGGACGCCGGTGCAGAGATTCTAAGGCTACGCACTATACTGGAGGCCAAGTTCTGTAAGTTAGAAAGTACATAAAAATGAGAAATGTGTAAATTATTACACACACAACTTTCTCTCCAAAACCCTTTATTTGTATAGGAAATAGCATGATTTGTAGTGGTATTTGGCGTAAGTACCACGAATGATATTTCGAAATTGTTATACATAATTTCCCGAGCCGTTAAGCTAGAGAAATATGAGACAATTTTGAAATATCACAAGTGGTATTTATGCGAAATATCACGTTCAAATCATGCCATTGTTTGTTTATACTACTACCCGCGAAAGGTTTGTAATTTTCAGATGTAGGTATTTCAAATTAAGCTGAAATAACACTGCTCTAAGCCAATCAAATTGCAGAAATTTCTGATGCAGTAGTATAACACGAGAAATGCAACCTTAGATAAACATTTCCTAGCCTTAATTTCAGACCTCCCTTAATTCGAATCGAAGCCATATCTGAAATTCAGGCTAAAAGATTTCCCTAGATAGATTTTCACCGTCTTCCGTTACAGATCGATGAAAACCATTTGATTGCAAACAATTTTTATAGATTTCGATTTTATGGATTGACTTTAAAAAAACTCCGGGATGTAACTACACCCGGAAGTGCACGGACATTTATATTTAGAAAGGAGGACAGATCGCGAAAAACTGGGTACCTACAAACCTGGCTAATATCAGCCGTCAGAGGAAGATTTTAAATCTGGTTTTTAAAAAAAAAAAGATGTAGGTTTTTTTTTTTAACGATTTTTTTTAAAATGATAATTGTTTGATCCTTTGTCTCTGAATTGCAATTCAATTGTCAAAAAATTAGCTGTTGGCATGAATTCAGTTTTCATTTCTTGATGAATAGATGTATATATCCGATGAATAAATCAAGATAAATCGATGAACGAAATGAGTGTGTCATCGATTTCTACTGATTGATCGATACAATCGATATCAATCAAATCACATTTAACGATGTTATCGATACCGATTATTATTGATTGACTACTCCGGGTGGGTGAATCTTGCGCTGACACGAAAACCATATCAGATAGCGCTTCTGTTCACACATAAGAAAGGTGATTTTGACCCGATTTCTGTAACGCAGCGAAGCTGCGGCGGCGCCGAAGTTGAAAAAGGATCGCCACATATCGGAAAGGTTTCTGTTCACTCTTTGGGGCTTTGTGAACATGTGTGCGCGCTATACCTGATAGCTTTTCCTGTCGACATGGAAAACAATCCGTTCAAGTGTAGATATAGCCTAATTTAGTATTTACCAAATCAGTGAATAGCTGCGCGTTTTGATTGGCGCCTGTAACTTGGAATATCCTTGGCTTTTCACTGTTTTGCGACCAAAGCCAAGATGGCGTCTCCTTTCGAGATATTTTCGGAAGACGAAATTTGAGCGATAAATGAAGCAGTCGTGTAAACAAATATCAAGAAAGCGACGGACTTTGGCTTGTCATTGTTTACTGGTAAGTAGAAAATTATTTTCATGCTAAATTTGCAACAAAATCGTAAAATGCACTTGGCAAAATCCTCGAAATGTTTGTAAATTGCAAACAAAGTTCCTACTAAGTGACGTTTTTAATTCACCAAAAGTAGCCTTTTTTCAGTTTTATCCAACTGATTTGGAAAATGCTAAAACAACTATCTCCCTCAGGGTCGGTGAACAGTGCTACACCTAGCTTCAAACAGATCTTTCTAGTTTCAGTGTAGGCTCATCGGGTTACGGCCCCGGAGTCCGTGCAAAGAAATAAAAACAGCCTGCTCCAAACATTTTCTATTATCGGCTTTCTATTTGATGGAATGTCATTTTTCTCCTTAAAAGGGTGTCAATTTTCAATTTGATTTCTCTTAAATATGACCAAGATTTATGAATCTTTGGGGCACCTATACGAATCTTTAATTGGCCCAAGTAAGCGCAACCGTCTCCAGCAGCCTTTTTCAGGAATTAAGGGACCATTTGGGAAAGAAGGCGTGTCAGCGGCTTAGCCCAAAACAACAAATAAACAAACCATAACAAAAAACAATCCCACAAAAAAGAATGAAAAACAACAAGACAACAACAAAACAGTAGGTCGAAAAAACTCACTGCCTGCTTAGTTTCGGAGAAAAAGGATATTAATACTTGTAGACAAAAGAAAAATAAGCAAATAATAAAGTAAAAAATTAATAGAGAGATTAAGATTCACGTTTACGCCAAACGGCAAACGTGAATTTGTACCACGTGACCAAGTTTTCCCCTTAATTGTCGTTTACTGTTTATTACTTCTACCCAAAAATAAGTAGTTTCACGCCAGTTTTCTCCATAAGAATTGTTCTGGACTGTTTTTATCTGCTTATTTTTCATTCTGAGAAATTCTCAACTTGAATCTGACGTTTGCCGTAAACGTGAATCTTAATCTCTCTATTGAGCCGCCTTATTATAAAAAAAAAAAATGAAAATAATAAGGCGGCTCAAAAACGTCATCACGTTTGCATAGATTGAAGGACGTAGCCTTTCATAATTCATAACATAATTCATAATTCATAACAACAGATAATAATATTTAAATAACGTTTTCTGTTTCATTTCGATTGTTACCTCCAAGACAGACTGTGAAATTCCTTGTAATGAGTAAATGGGATGAAATGATGTGTCAGTATACGAAAGGTCCATGGTGTCTTCGTGATAAAAATTCGATGAACTCCATGACCAAGAATCCCGAGTCCCAGATCCATTATGACAATCCGTGATTCTCCCTAGTCACCAAATGAAGGAGCCAATTGATATGGAGAATAAAGTACATGATAATTTAAATAACTGTATTTTCCTCACATGACAAGTGGGAGACTAGTTCTGGAGTTTAAGAGCAATACGCGTAGGGAGCAGATACAATTTGCCTTTATTAAGGCTTCAAATAATAATGCTGGTACACTGCAAAAATGAGCTCATAAAACGAAAGATCTACCATGTTGTCTACTTTTTGGTAGACTAGTAAACTTTGTAAGGTTTTTTGTATCGTATCATCGAAGGAAGACTATAATGAACACTTAATAACGACTTGTCCCGAGGGAAGCAGTTAATTTTGTTTCCCGAGAATCTCACGAGAGACCAGAGTCTTAAAGTGATTTGTTATATAGCTGGTAAATTTAAAGCTGGAAATTCTAAAAAAACCTCGCTGTAACGGAAGTCGTCGGTCAACATTCGCGGGTAACAATTCACTGTTACCCTCTGACAACATAGATTTTTGCAATGATTCCCTCAGAGATTTTGGCGGGAAACAGTTTCATTGTTAGATGTTATGTGACCTCGAAGTAACCAATGAGAGCGCGCGCTGTTAGGAAGAAATTTCCAGCTATATAACAAGCGCAAATGTTTCCCTGATGTCAAACGACGTAGGGGTGCTTAACTTTTGCTAAGTAATGCGTTTGCTTATGTAATTAGCCAATTGTATCATGAAACAAGAGCACGACCACTGATTAATAAACTGGTTGCCACAAAAACTTCATAGCGATAAGGATCAGACTGAATTCACATAAATTTTATTCAGAAATATTTTCTAGATTTTATTATTATCATTATTATTTTGATTTCTTAACCTTTTGGTAGCTCGTTTTTACGTCGAGCGTTTCTGATCCACGGTAACCAGTTAGGCAAAACTACAGAGCCATGTTTTTCCACAAGACAGCAGGCTTCATTTCTAATTACTTTATAGTTTCAAACTAAAGAATCATTCATGTGGCACAAACTTGTCAATTCAAACTTATCATCTCGTACATGACTCTGCAAACTGCACTGCTCTCTCATAAGCTTCGCCATTCGGTCCCATGAAGTCATTTGTGGCATTGTTGTCCATAAAGCCACACAGCCCCTCGGTATGTCCTTTGTACGCAACAGTTGGAGCGTACAGAACATTCAAATATTGCCTTCCCATAGTGCGGCTGTGTTTAACATCAATGGTAACCGTGACACCTAAAAAAATAATTGAGGTGTACAATAAAAACTGAGCGGGACGTTTTGGGTTTAATTGAACGTCTACCTCGCGCAATACTCGTCAAAAATCTTGAAACACTTGTGTGCGTTTCCCCTTCTCCAATGTTGATTTGGGTATTACAGTCACGGTCTCAGAGTGCTCCAAAATACGCGTGGCTCAACATTGGGGAAGGAGAGGGGCACAAAAGAACAAAAGTGCGAAGAGTGAATGTAAGAAATTTTCGAGAAAATTCAACACAAACGGTGTCTGTTTCAACTACACGAGGAGCCGCAAGGGGTGATATTTTTGCACGGCATCTGGCGGTACATCAAAGAATTTGGAATTGAAGGGCAAATTCCTAGAATATCTTCGCCAGTTAAGCTAGAGAAAAGGTGTTAAAAAACCTCAGGATCCAAAACAACACGTCAATCAAAACATCACTTGGACCTTTTCGCTAATGAAGAGCTATCACGCGGCTAAGCTTGAATTAGACGTATATTGAAATAGGAACTCGTGTAAATAAAGTATCAGAAGTGAGTGGGAATCGCTCCTGGTTAAAAAACTGGTTCACGGGGATATGCATCTCTTCTAGTTAAGAGAAGGGAATCAGAACTGCTTTTCATGCAGGAACAGGTTTTCTTCGGGCTAACTACAAAACTTCAGCTTATTTCACTCTTGACATTGTCAAAGCGCATTTTGTAAAGATAACTTTTTCCGCTTTATAAGCTTTTTTTATATTCTATTCCATTAATATTTAACCTCCCTCAAAAAGCCAAATAATATAAATGCTATTGTTAAAAAAAGCGTTTAACCTGTTTTCGTGAATTCGCTACCCAAAGATCACTATGCTCAAAGGACGGAGCAAAATTTCTAGGGGAGAGGCATTAATTTTTTTTTCCCACGAGGTTACAAAGAGAAAATGCAATGATTATTATTAATGTAACCATCAGGTATGTTCTACCCACGAGGTTACAGAGAGCAAATGCAGTGATTATTATTAAATGTAACCATCAGGTATGTTCTACCCACGAGGTTACAAAGAGAAAATGCAATGATTATTATTAACGTATCCTTCAGGTATGTTCTACCCACGAGGTTACAGAGAGCAAATGCAGTGATTATTATTAAATGTAACCGTCAGGTATATTCTACCCACGAGGTTACAAAGAGAAAATGCAATGATTATTATTAAGGTAACCTTCAGGTATGTTCTACCCACGAGGTTACAGAGAGCAAATGCAGTGATTATTATTAATGTAACCATCAGGTATGTTCTACCCACGAGGTTACAAAGAGAAAATGCAATGATTATTATTAAGGTAACCTTCAGGTATGTTCTACCCACGAGGTTACAGAGAGCAAATGCAGTGATTATTATTAAATGTAACCGTCAGGTATATTCTACCCACGAGGTTACGGAGAGAAAATGCAATGATTATTATTAAGGTAACCTTCAGGTATGTTCTACCCACGAGGTTACAGAGAGCAAATGCAGTGATTATTATTAATGTAACCATCAGGTATGTTCTACCCACGAGGTTACAAAGAGAAAATGCAATGATTATTATTAACGTAACCTTCAGGTATGTTCTACCCACGAGGTTACAGAGAGCAAATGCAGTGATTATTATTAATGTAATTATCAGGTATGTTCTACCCACGAGGCTACAAAGAGAAAATGCAATGATTATTATTAACGTAACCGTCAGGTATGTTCTACCCACGAGGTTACAGAGAGCAAATCCACTGATTATTATTAATGTAACCATCGGGTATGTTCTACCCACGAGGTTACAGAGAGCATGCAAATGCAGTAACAATTATTAGATTTTAGTGCAACTATCAGGTTGAATTCCTCTATTAAAAGAGGTTTTTGATAGGGTTAAACAAGTTTGGCTTTCATGAGTTTCAAGGTGCAAGAAATTATCAGTATAATTATAGCACACAAACATTGTCATCTAATTTTTCGCACGTAGCCGGAATGAGTCAAGAAATGAAGCATATATAACGAAAAATCGTCCCCAGATGATCTCCATATTAAGTAAATTATACTAAACGTTGCGAAAGAAATTATTGTTTGTATCTGTCTTATCCATCGTAAAAGCGAGGGGTCATCGCATGACACCCGGTATATTAAACGGAGGTAATACTCACGGGTTTCACGAGTTGTATGCACTATTTTTCGCCGAGAAACAAATTTAAACTTCAATTCTTACCTTACAGTAGTCCGTTCTTTTACCTTGCATTCGACAACAAATCTGTTTAAGGCGAACAAAGCGATTCCGGCACTCTTCTTTATGATGAGTAGCAAGCCGCAGGAACTGAAACCACTTGGCTGAAGTAAAATCCACCGATATGCACGGCATTCTCACTACAAATATAAACAAACGTCGCGGGGAAAAAAAGACAAGGAGGAAAAACTGCCAGATCTTCGCCTCGGCAATGTATTCCAGCTATCATGCCAGCGTATCTCCAGAAGGTGGACTCGAAGTGGGACAAACCTTGTGATTTTTTTTAGAAGCCCTTTGCGCGCAAACTAATTTATTCTGGCGCGAAATGAAGATTAACAATATGTATACTGAAATCTAATCCACGACAAGAAGATTTTCGCACTCTAGCGCGACATATTAAATGGCTATTTTTACAAGTACGCGGAGAAAGTGGTCCACTAGTTTAACTTTTTTAAGATGAATTTACTCCACAAAAGCAAAATGAAATGTTTTATCTCTATGTTGTTTACGTGCCTGATTAGAAGGCAGAGGTAAATTCATCATACAGACCCCATCAAAATGAAAGTACACGAATGAAACGGAATAAGTCTGGGACGGTTTAGTTTCTACTCAGCAGCTTCTTTGCTTCTATAACAAAAATTTAATGTTGCAGTCTGTTTTAAACGTTGGCATATCAACGCGCACAGTCACTGAATGAAAACAACAGTCACGATCACGTTCTTCGAAACCGACCAGACGCGCGCGACCTACCACTGTTATGGTAAGCAATTATCCTGAAGGTGTTAATGTTCCCGTGACAGTCTTCGCACTGAAGGTGTAAATGGTAAACCGAACGGTCGCTTTGATCATCAGAAAGACCTGTCAACTTTGATGTTTTAACTGATTAAATTACGGGACAGAAATTTAACTGCATGCGGCTCCTCGTGTGTGACGATGACGGTGACGGCAAAAAATAGCGTCAAAAAAGGCAATGGATTTATTAGGCAAAGCAACCATTCTCCATGGGCATCACGCTTTTTGCTACATATCTTTAATTTGCCGTCACTGTGCACACGAATAGGACGTTAAACTTTCTTTTTCTACGTTTTACCAGGGACGTAAACACGACACGAAGATTTTCGCTGTTTTTTAATTTTTTGAGCTTCGATACTGCCTTATGAATTCCACACTAGGACAACTGGCCAATATTTGACAATTTGAATGAGGTGGAATTATGGCGATGAAGATTGAAACAGCACGATCTCACTTTTTCAGTGACCTTTTCTAGCGCTGCCGTCGCCGTGGTGGTTGCATGCTTACAAGCTCCATATTCCTTGGTTGCATCACGGACCTCCCAAGGACGGAATTTCTTACGGGTATAATTGGGATCAAATTACCATTGTTTCAAACAATTAGGTTGAACAGTATGTTCCACGGTATGCTAACGATTTCAACATGACATCCTCGATTCCACTCTCATCAATACATTTTTAAATGCAAGTCTGAAGTTAGGAAATGATTCCCGAGAATACTTGCCTGATTCGTATTCCAGCGAGATGAGAACAACGCTGTTCTCTTCTTCTTCAAATGTGAAACGTACTTGACGATCAAGCAAAACCGAGCCGTTGTTTATCTCAATAGGTCGTGATGAGTTATCCGTGACATTTATTAGGATTCCATCCACTCTGTTTAACAACAAGGAAGCACCATACAGTGACATTAGCAGCTTGCAAAGTTTTTAGTGCTGAAAAATATTTCATCGGACATTGAATCCTCTAGAATATTGCTGTAAAACAAACAAACAAACAAAAAACAAGGCAAAACAAAGCAAAACAAAATACGCTATCAATACTTAACAGTCATCTCGTTTGTGTTATGTTAGTAACATACCTAACGATGGGAGAATCACGAGGTCTGTCGGTTTTGATCGTCATGACTGTTAATAGGCTGTGGCCAGCTTTTAGTGCAACTCCTCCTATTAGCGAGGCTCGCTCGTAGTAGAAGAAACGATACTGGAGTCCAAAGTCATTACGTAGGCTTTTACAGCCCCAGAATTCCCCAATACCAAAAAAGTCGAAATTTACACCTAAAGAAGATGAAATGCAATTAATTCTATAAAATAACTAAAATAGTACGCGCGCTCTGATTGGCCGAGAGGAGTGTTTGCATGAGAGTATGTAAACATGGTTGTGGCGTCAAGTTGTTTGGCTTTTCACGTGCTAATCACGCAGGCACGAATTTGAAAAAGTTTTCGAGTTCAAAACCAGTCAATTTTTCTTCGCTTAAGCTGACATTTTAAGCGAGAAAAATCCGTATTTTGCAAAACAGCTTTTTGCAAAACAAGAACTGATTACGCGTGCAAGACTTCGTGGACAAGATTTTGCGACTGGTAAGAATTTATCTTTTAATCAGTGCCATACAAAGAGTTTTGCGTTTTTTTCTCGGGAACGTTACTTTATAAAAGCAATAGAAAACTTTTTTCCTGTGTTTGCATAGCCTGATATAAACACTCGAGGCGTTGGGAGAATTCTCGACGGTTATGTAAACCCTCGACTTCGTCTCGGGTTTTTCATAACTGTCTCGAATTCTCCCAACCCTTCTCATGTTTATATCAGGCTATGCACACACGGAAAACGTTTTCTATTGCTTAAATAATGTTTACATTTAAGAATGTGTCACCCAAACTTGAGAGAGCGCTGTGATAATTAACAAGTCGACCACAATTTTCCATGGTCTACACTCTCATAGACCATAGCTCTCGACCAATCAGCGCGCGAGGATTCGCTCAGTTATTGTAAAACAAAGGATGTGCTTACCATCTAATGTTTCCAAGTGTGGGTCGCCGCCACTTCTTGCAGATATTCTTTCACAGTATTGACCTTCCCATCCTCCAAAACACTCACATTTGGCGCTGCAGTTTGGAGCAATGGCAGGTTTTCCATTACCGGAGCAATCTAAAAATGATAAACGTTACTTAATAAGTTGTCAGTTTGACATAAGAAAAACAGAAAAAGAGTAGAAAAAGCACATACACAAACCAATAGCATCGACCATGCATTGAATTTCCAGACAGGCGAACTACCTCTGTGACGATCACTCGAACCAATCTTACCCCGCCCGTCACAGAATCAAAACTCTATAAAAGCACAATTGCAAGTGGCAGGGTATGCGGATATTTATTGTGCGACTAATTGCTTTATAAATTGCGGTACTACAACTCTTAGAAGGTTAAATTGATTAAATGGCAAACAGGCCACAGTCTGTTTTGTGCCCTATAAGTTAGTTATGTCAGTCTAATTCATAAAGATGATGAGCATTCATTTATCATCAAGGTCAATCGGCTCAGGCGACTTTAACTTTCTTTAATATAACATATTTTATATAAAATTAAGAGCCGTATTTCAAAAAATTAAGTGAGCCAACAGCGTACAGGTAATATTAATATTAAACTTGAACGGTGAAACTGACAATCTTAGATTTGAATTATTTAGCTTAGCTTTACAAATTTTCATGCTTGACCACTGTTAGGTACTGCCCAGGGATGGATTGACTAAAATAAGGCAATCCTTTCTTGACCATCAGTCTAACATTTTTGATAGAGGAAAAGTGACAACTTACTATGTGCTGTCTTATTATTTTTTTTAAAGTATCAGTTAAAAATGTTTTGTTTTTTCTTGATTACTTTTTGCTCTTAACCCTGTGACGCCCGCTCATTGGTCGTTTTCGTTCCATATGGAACGACGCACATTTTCCTATCTGAATACATTTAACTTTCAGTTTTACCGTTAAAGAGAAAGATCGCAATAGCCCTTAGCATGTGAATGTAGATTAATTGCATCCAGTTAGCAGGAAAATATGCCCCTTGAGTTCCAAGTCTCATTCTTAGCAATGCTTATGCTAACTGGATGAAAACCAGCCCAACAAGGAGGATTTGACTAAAAATGCGTTTTTTTCGCTACTAACTTCAATCCTGGACAAAAGTCCTTGGGCCAGTGATGCAGTATTCATAATCATTTGGGCGTCGCCCAAATGGAGTAATCGAGTTCCCTTGTTTTGATTTAAAGTTGCAATAGGCACGCAATAAGTGCGAGCGTAAACAAGCCAAGCGACGGGAATGTGTGCCGCGCGGGAAACACAGGTAACGCAAGGCAAACACATCGGTAATAGGTAATTTAAATAATTTAAATTCAAATTTTCCCTTTGGAAAATAATCGTCCTCGCAGCGCACGGTGTGAATGGTTTGGCTTATTGCCAAGAGTTCGGCAATATTTTTGCTCTCAGTTGTCGAGCGCCAAAGAAGATGTCACGCAAAATTCCATGATCTCGTGCATGAGTTAATTAAGGGTAACACTGAATGATGCATAATTTCATTGCATATTTTCGGAAAGGAGGTGATTTCTTAAAATCTTACTGAGCAAAATGACGCCGTAAACAAGTTGTATTCTTTCACGGTCGAACAGTAAAAGGGGCAGAGTCCAACATTTTTACGTGCAAACCGCGATCTATTCAAAACTCTTGGGTTAATTAGATTAAGTCGTGTTCTCTCATACACGAACCACGAAAGCGGCAAATTCCAAAGCTTTCACGTGGAAACTGCGTGACAATACAACTTTCAGTAAGGGACTGATCACATGAGCCGGGGAAGAAATGCGCATGAACAGTATGTTACCCGCTGTCCTGTTTCACGCTAGGTTCATTCGCCGGGCCGCCCGGCAAACGTGATTACTTGGAAAGTTGCCACCCGGGATTCCTGCATCACAATACTGGGATTCCAGCTAACCGGCCTGGATCGGTTGACATTTAATGGCAAAGTTGATTTTTGTTGCGTTTCACTAAGGTGCCGGAATCTCTGCAAAGCGAGCTAGCCCACCCCCACCCCCCCTCCTTCTTCTCAACATCTTCATACCCGCTTCTCAATAATAAATGAAACTTTCGCTTTATTCATGTACAAATATTATCCAAAATAAGCGAAAAACAATCCCAAACAGAAAGCCTAACAACGTTTAAAATAAGTACAAGCATGTTTTCGACTATTGACAAGACTTTTCACAACCACCACTTCATTTCAACAGACTGTAACTACGTTATCCCTTCATAACCATATTAGCCCGTCCACAACTACCTCACTGCAACACCTAAACTCACTTTTACCTCCTAAAATAATTTTTTTTGTTACTTTATATTAAATTCTACGAGAAACGATTTTCACTGATTAAAAAACTACAGCCATTGTATATCGTACCAATTCACGCACAATATAACTCCACGCCTTCCACTTCACGCATTTCTACCAACCCCTAAAACATACAACGCTATTGCACTACTATCTCATTCCTATTAAATACACATTAAAAAAACTTCACACACGCCTAGTACATCGACAACCAAATATACGCTCCCACAGTGTATTGTTTTCTGTAATTTCTCGTTACCCTAATAAAAAATACAGCGCATCCTTTTCGAAATTTTATTGAAATTCTGTCTTCGCGCACCCTACACAATGTTAAAACTAGAAAAAAAATTCTGGATACATTCGTACAACGTTGTTTGTAGGGTGGGGGAGGGGTAGGTCATGTGTGAATTGAAAAAAATCCCCACAATTGCAAAAGTGTCCAAAGACTTTTGTCCATGATTGTAGCTGGCGATTACCAAAGGATAAATTCCGATTGATTTCTCGGATTGTCTGCCCGAGCAGTTTCTCTGACTTTGCTCTTTTCGAAATTGGGCAGACATATCACTAAATGAGGCTGCATATCAACTAATGCGTTGCAAAACAAGAAGTTTAAAAAGTTATAACAGTATGAGATCTAATACTTGGACTTTCCTCTACATACTTTGATTAGGCCACATGTCAGGCTGTGTACAGTTTGGCCCTGTTCTGTTCCCAGCACAGACATGTTCTCGTCCGCATTCTGGTCCAGGGATTTTACCATTACTGGAAATTTAAACACAATGAAAATTTGTTTTTGTTAGTTATACTCTTACTCTGCAGTAACTGTTACACTTTTTAATTTACGTAATTTTACTTAGGGACTGGTCAAAAAGTATAGGGGGGGGGTGGGCCGGAGCAGAGAGGGGGTGGGTCATGAGGTTTTGAGCCTTGTGCAAGGGGTGGGTCGTGCAATTTGCGGCTAACCTTAGGGGGTGGGTCACCCTATTTTATTACATAGACAAGCACTAACTACTAACGAGACAGTTGACCACACTTGTTATATAAAACACAGCCAGCTGGAATTATTGCTAAAATACTCACAAACCTGTGGTGCGAGAAAATGCAACGGGTGACAGGCCGCTCATCCCGTGAACCCTTTGTTAACCTTTTTTTTTTGGCTCTAACGAGCATGTCCTTTAATGATTTTCCTTTTTTGTAAGGACATGATTGTTGGTTCTTTAAAAATTTATTAAAGTTATGCTTGGTTTTGTATAAGATTCCATTTTTATTATTCAAGCTTCATTTATTGTAGACACTGAGGGTTGGTATTGTGTCACAAATGGCAATAAATCTTTTTCCTCCTTGTAGGTTTTGTTTTAGGAGTTTAGACTCGTTTTTGTGAATTTTATTTCTAATAGTAGGTCTTCTCTCAAAGTTTGTGGGTAGCCTCCATCCATCAAGCGTTTTTTGAATTATTTTTTTCACGCGCTTTTGATCATATTTGCATGGAAAAGGTGCGTTATAAATTTTTAATTATTATTATTAATTATTATTTTCCTCAAAGGTTGTTTCTGAGGAGTTTTTTCGTAGGATTCTCAAGGCTTCTCCTTTGACAAATCCTTTTTTAACACTTGGAGGGTGAAACGAGGTGAAATGTGTGTGCAAGAAGGTTTCCGTTTGTTTAAAATGTGTCTTTGCATCAAGGATAGATTTTTTCTTGAATCTTGTGCCTTTGTATACAACTGTGCCTAAAAACGCTGCATCTCAGTGTCAAATGTTTCGGCCATGAATTTAATAGTTGGGTGATGTCAGTTTGCTTGTTCAATGAAGGCTTCGATGTCTGGTTTACTCATGTCCCATAGGGAAAAGATATCGTGTATGTAGCAGTTCCAAACTGTTGTTCTAAAGACAGTTTCGCTTAGAGTTGTTGTTTCAATATATGTCATGAAAATATTGGCAAAGGAATCAAAACTGCTGTCTTTGTGCCCATTACAGTTCCATGGTTTTGTAGGTAGTGCTTTCCATTGAAGTGGAAGAAATTTTCTTTGAGGATTAATCTAAGAATTTCCGGCAAGTAATGTGTAGGAATGGGTTATCTTTGTAGAAATTTTTATATGCGTTGTGACAGACAATTTCAATATACCCTAGTTTTGCTGTATATTTGTGTCAAGACTCGTAACGTCCATCGAAACAAGAAATGTTCGGTTTTTCACATTTGCCTTTTCAGTGAAAGGTATGATTTCTGTGATTTTGATATTGGTTGTAGCAGTGTATCAAAAAATTTTGTCAAGCACAGAACAAGGTTGGGCCATCCTCTTTTTATTCTCCGTTTACGATCGTCCGACCGACCCAAATTTTTGGCATTTTTTTAAAAAAAAAGTAACGACATAGTTACACCATTTTTCACTTGAAATAATTCTTTTAATCTGAAAAATGAGCATAGTAACAGCACAGAGAAAAACAAGAACACAAACATGAACATTTTTCACAGTATATTTTACATTTTGTTAATCCAAATATGTGAATGTTAACTTTTAACGTTGTCCTGGGGTACCAGGGCCTACTATTCTGAGACTTCTTGTGGTTTTTTTTTAAAGTTTTTTTTTTCAATCCGACCGACCGACCCAATATCAGGAAACGCATTCGACGGTAAACGAAGAGAAAAAAGGGGATGGCCTTAGAGGAAACCAAACATCCATGTTTTAACTAGGGGGTGGGTCATGCAATTTCCAACCTTGCTTTAGGGGTGGGTCAGTCATTTTTGTGCCGAAGGGAGGGGGTGGGTCATGTGTTTTTTATCAACCACATTTCCAAATGCTCCGGCCCACCACCCCCCTATACTTTTTGACCAGTCCCTTACTCCAATAGCTAACAGCAATTAATATTATATAACAATTATTCACCGAAGTGGAGGTGGCTAGTGGTGTCCTCAGCGGACACTGAGTGAATGATAGTTTTAGCATGTACTAAAACAGTGAGATAATTGAACTCAAAAATGATGATTTTTAACTCATTTACCGTTGCCAGCGATTGCAATTCTGGCGCGCAATGACCGAACGGCCGCGGTCGTGGCGTTTTCTTGCCGACCAATAAAACTTTTGAAGGCATTTGTTTAGCTATTGCGGGGAAATTTCTTCGAAAGGAGTTATAAATTCTTTTTGTATCTAAAATCATTCTGTAAAAAAGACTATTAAATTTAGTTTTAAGCTTATTTATGAACATTTTTAATTTGCATTTGTAAATAAAAAACCTTTTCACAGGTTTCATAGACAAATTCAAGTCAAAAAGACAAAGCTTTACCTGTTAAAACTTCCAAACCGAACTTCGTCACCTTCTTCGTGTATTTCGGGAACAGCTTGTTTGATTATTTGTGAAATTTCTTTGTTTGTTACGGTAGCAAACCGGGAAGTCATTTTGCTCGTAACTTTACGCGAGTTTGGCGTCGCTCGCTCGGAGGGACTGGAGGTGAATCAGTGAATAGTTTTCAACTATCCCCCGATGGGGAGGTGAATAGTGGTGGGGCATATTATACCGAGATGCGAAGCGCCGACGAGGTATTTATTTATGTAGCGTTATGAAACGATCCTGAGCGGGATAGTTGTTTTTAGTATTAACCAAATCAGTTGGATAAAAAACAATTAAAAAAAGAACTTTTTGTAATTAAAGACGTTACTTAGTTGACAGTGTTTCGGAGATCATTTTTTAAGATTTTGTTGCAACTTCAGCAAGAAATTTTTTTTCCACCGACCTGTAAACACCGACATGCCAAATTTTGTCTCTTTCTAGCTGTTTGCTGATGCAGCTGCTTCATTACCGCTAAAATTTTATCTCGCGAAACTGTCGCGAAACTAGAAGCCATTTTGAATAATGTCCCAGAACAGTGAATATCCAAGGATATTCCGAGTTACAGAAGCCAATCAGAACGCGCGAAAGTTGCTATCCACTGATTTGGTAAATACTAATACTGGATATCCGGAGGTAGAGTAGCCAACCAGAGCGCGAGAAAAACACTATCCACTGTTTTAGTATGTACTAAATAGATTTAGCCAGAGCTAAAAGCGAAGCTCCCGCTTACGCATTTTAAATTTACTGCAGACAATGGACTTTGAACTATTGAAAATACCACAAATCTATACCTAACTTTACGGGAAAACCATTTGACTGAAAAACATAAACTTGAGTCCGCGATCAATTAAATGCTAAAAACTGGTCAGTGGAAAACTTCAACAAAAAAAAACACGTGAACTGGACGAGCGATCGCTCATGCGATCGCTCATGTGACACTCATGCCTGCGATCGCTCATGTGACACTGGTCAGCAGATATCCTGTTTTTTGCGTCACGCAAAAGCCTGGAAATTCAAGCGTCCTCTCTTGCAAAACGAAGAACCCTTTCGAACCAAAAATTTGTTTATGTAAAGGTGTTTAGGTACTGTAATACCTCGTGAAAGTAGAAACTCAGAAGAATCGCTAGTTTCTTAGTTTGATTTTTGGTGACGTCACGTGCAACCCAAGAATACAATAGGAATATACTACATTAAAAACGCACGATAAGTATAAACTAAAGAAGAGGATTATTGAAGACGGTTAGACACAAATTACCAAAAAAAGTCAAAGGAGAGTACTTTTTTTTGCTCCTATTCTGTTTTGCTTCTGGCTCAGGATCCGGGCTTGGGGTCGCAATCGGATCCGGGGGCCATACTGGTGGAGGTGGTGTACTCGGAGATGAGCTACCCGGAGTTGGTGTACCCGGAGTTGGTCTACCCGGAGACGGTGTGCCTGGAGATGGTCTACCCGGAGGTGGTCTACCCGGAGGTGGTCTACCCGGAGGTGGTCTACCCGGAGGTGGTCTACCCGGAGGGGGTCTACCCGGAGGGGGTCTACCCGGAGGTGGTCTACCCGGAGGGGGTCTACCCGGAGGTGGTCTACCCGGAGACGGTCTGCCCGGAGGCGGTGTGCCTGGAGACGGTCCGCTAACTGTGGGTCCCACACATTCCTACGAAATAAAACAAAGACAAAAGCAACGTTACGATAATCTTTTGTTATTAGTCTATGAGGGAGCGCTGGATATCAAATGATAAATAACCAACGAAGAGCATACTTCCAAGCTGGTTATCAGCATTTGATTTCCTGTAAGCCAGAGAAGAATTACTATATTATAATGAAAACATCAACAACCTACACTATTAAAGCTTTCCAGCTTTGCAGAAATCCGTTAACCAATTTATTGAGGAACAGAAAAACAAACTAGACGAGATGTTGGCTTGCTCTCCGAGTTTCTAAAATCCAAGCAAGAAAACAGAAAAATAGAAGATACAACCACAGGAACTCAATGATTTTCTGAGTGAGTTTATAGTTACTGTGAAAAGAAAAGATGGGGGCGATTATGAACCGTCAAGCCTCAGGGGGTTTATAGCGAGCTTCAATCGTCAATTGAAAAACGTGAAGTGTTCAAAGAGCATCGTCGAAGATCAAGAAGTTTGAGCAAACAAGGAAAGCGCTGGATGCTCGTTGCAAACTCCTAAAAAAAAAGAAGGCAGGGGCAACAGACCATTTGCAGCCGAGGCTATCAGCGATGACGAAGTAAGCGTTCTTTACGAGAGTAACATACTGGGAATCTCGAGTACCGAGGCTTAAATCAACACGGTCTGGCTGATGAATTCAATCCATTTTGGACTGAGAGGCTGTGATGAACATCGTCAAATGTCTCAAATGTGTTGGTCAGATGTGAGACTTCTGAGGGATGCCGACGGACTGAATATTTAGAATATTGTGAGCGTCAAACCAAAACAAGAAGCGTTGAAAATTAGACCAGTTAAACCTTAAGCTTTTGCTAAGCCGGACAGCGGCCCACCCGAAAAAGACCCAGTTTTTGTCTACAAATTCTACTCTGAGAAAAGACCTAGTTCAATGCAGAGCGTCGAAGCACCGTACTACCTCGGCATAAATCACAGCAAAGATTCCAGTAAATCCTAGTTCAAGGCGAGTCCGATGGAGTTAATAAACTTACCTCGTTAATGAAAACAATGGAAGGAAAAGCTGGCTTCGAGCGACGACTAACTAACCATAGCGCGCGAAAGCAAATGATGCAAAAACTGGACGATAACAATGTTCCTCCAACACACATCATGCAGCTCAGAGCGTTAACAATTACAGCACTTTGCCAAAAGAGCAGCAGAAAAATTTGTCGTTGATTTTGAGCGACAATTAAAACTTCCCAAACAGTGGCAACTGCCGAATCCTCCTTCACGAACAGTTCAGTTATTCCTGCCTCAGCACAGGCGACCCAGACGTAGTATGTGCCACTGAATGAATATATTAATATTCACGTGACAAATTAATGCGATAAGCCGTCGAAACTCCAATGAACTAAAATAGTCCAAAAGTCAAAATATAACAAAACAAAGCTAAGATACCTTCAACTGAACGTATCCTTGTCTTTCCTGGCCGGTTTAAGTGGCATTTTGTTGAGTTGTGCAATTGTAGGTACTATCTACTAAAGAAGAATTAAAGGCTGGCTACAAAACAAACAGACCATCTCCACGCGCCTTCACACGAAGAGCTATAAATTCGAGAATAATCGACGAATCCGCTCCAAATAACCATCGGCTTATCTGCAGGGAACGTGTGCTCCTGCTTCTGGTTCGCTTGCTCCACAAAACCCATCGCAACTGCACAAAAATTGCTCGCTCATCAACAACCACTGTTGACCTTTACGCTTCGATATGACCGCAAACGACCAGGTTTAATACGCGACGTGAATATTCAAGCTTAGCGACCGCGTTCGCGCAACAACGCAGCACTGGTGCCGGTTAATTTGTCCGATCAGACTATCTTTGCTGGACACAACCCGTTTTCGGCCGGACAAATGTCTTTCATTTAGCATTATCTGATTGCACTTAACATTAAAATACATGCGAACTATTATAAAAATGCTTTACAACACTACACACCCTACTCCTGAATTGCGGTGACGAAGCGATAAGTTTTTACTGTAACTCGCAACTCCCGGAGAATGAAAAACCACTGTTACCGCCCCGCCGCGCAGGGCTTCTGAAATTTCGTGCGGTTGCAGAGCCGCGAAATTTGGTAGAAATCTTTCCAAATACATGCCAGTTTGATATATTTGAGACTTATCTCGGCTAATGGGGCCGTTTTTACCATAAACTGGCAAATTTATTTTGAAACTTCGTCACTGCAACGAGAAAAAGACCCAAAACTACCAGGTGTTCTTAGATTATTATTGCGAAAAACTGGACACTGGCCAGTGGCCAGTGCATGATATAAAAAGCTTTGCCATTGGCGCATTTCTAAGCTCATCGTTGTTAAAAGAGCAAATGATGATCTCTGATTAAAAAAAAAAAAAAAAAAAAAAAATCTTGTGCGAGACAATACCAAGTGCAAAAGAGATCGCAAAGCAAGCGGGGGTTTTGAGCACAAAATAGCCGGTTTTAAAAAGGCAACATTTATGAGTAGTCGATGTTCCTGTTGTTGTTGTTGTTGTTGCACAGGCTAACGCCCACCATTCCCCCCTCTAAAAAGAACAACAACAATAACAACGGGCAAAATTTCCGTTTTGTTTCGATAAAAACGTTCGTGAAATCAGCGCAAAACTGATCGCTTTCTAGAGACATTTGCCCAGAAAATTTCCGCGAAATTAGATTTTTTTAAAGATTGTTTTCGGCGAAATTTGTCCCGAATTTTTTCGCGAAATTCTCGCGAAATCGATCGTTTTTCCCACAAATTTTTCTCGGAAAATCCCACGAAATTTGACTTTTTTCCGCGCCGAAGTATCAGAGGCCCTGTGTTATGAACAGTTTACGTTATAAAAGTTCTTCATATGGTCGCCTTTTTCTCTCTCTTAGCTTTTCCCCTACTTTTTTCCTTCACGAATGTCAATAATGGCCAATCTTGACCAATCGTATTTAAAAAAAGTGAAGGTCTGAATTACATTAGAAACGTAAGAGATCGTACTAAATGTCCGGTTACCCAAGGATTTGACCGGACAAAGCCTTTTTTAGACTGGTCGTTGTCTGTTGACCGGCCGTTATTTGAAGCCCTGCTGCATGGAGCGTCGTTTTGCATTTTGTGTCAGGCCTCACGTTTGTCAGAATTGTTGCACAAAAATGCTTTAATTTGTTATTAACTCTGTACTCACCCTCTCTATTCCAACTGGGCAGATGCAGGTACTGAAATTCCAAAGTAAATAATAAAGCCAATTAAAAACATATTTTTTGCTTGTCATGGGAACATTAACAAGGGAAAAATAAAACAACTGGAACAAACTTTGGGATGGATTGAAAATAACGGAAATAGACTGAACGACAACAAACAACCGTACGAACAAACAAAGTAAAGAAAGTTTACTAGAAACGGGATACAGAGTTTATCGCACTAAACTTAATTGCCCATAAACTTTTTCGACTTTTCCTAAAATTTATTTGAGTGCACGACACTTTTTCGTACCAATCCTTATGCGTGGTGATTCACCATCATTATCACAAAATGATTATTATTATTATTTTTTTAATGGGAGCTACTTGTTACTTTTTTAATAAAATATTCGAGTTTTTGTTAAAGTTACTTATAATCGGACATAACTACACAAACGCTGGCTAAAGAAGTTTGACCCAGTTTCCTGTCCAACCTAGTTATAGCCAATCAAAAACCCAATTGCGTCCCCCAAAAAGTCTCGCCCTCAAGCTCAAAATGACCATTAAAACAGCCACTTACGCAATAATTATATTACGTAATAAAAATATAATGTGGGAAATTGCATCTATACACCAACTCACCTCCCATCCACGAGTAAAAATATCAAATCAATCGAAGAACGTTTTGTTTGATCTAAGTGTTTTAATGGCTAGGGAACTTTCCAAAGCTTACTTTTTATCACTCTTGATGATGATGATTTTGCATATAACGTACATTGTTATAAATTTTGAGATTGATACGTGTTTTGTTCGTCTACTTGATCTTTACCTACCTGGGGCTTCTCACTAAAGAAAATTCCAGGCGTTTTGTTAATACAAATTCTCTTCCAACAAATGAAACTGAAACACCAAAATCAACGCCAGGAATACCAAAAAGGCCTTGGATTTGAGCAGGTGTTCTTCCTTGGCACTGACTGGATGGATAAGTTATTGAAATTCCTCCTTGAAGAGGTGCGCTCGCAAATATCCGGACAGAGAGGTCCACAATGTTCACAAAGTCCACAGCATTTTCCACTAGAGACAACAGAATTTACTGTGTTAGCAAAGCGCAGGCTCTAATCCCGGAGGTAGATGATGCGGATTAATACTATCGTTTTTCATGAAAAATTTTTATTTTCTTCTAAGCTTGAGAGAGAGTGTAATCCTCCAAATCCTGCAATCTGATTGGTTCCGAGAGCGGTTTTTTTTTTCGATCTCACCAGCTAACCCGGGCTGAATCGTCAGCAGCTTCATTCACAAGTTTGTTTGTTGTTTGTGATTGAGCAAAAACCGTGATTTTGAAACCATTTTCCTTTTAAAACTTGCGCTATTATCAGCATTAGCTAGGGAAAAGTGAATTTTATTATTCAGACAAGAAATTTGAAGAGAGAATCAAGCAAGTCAGCTAGGAAAACCGCTAAAGTAGAGCAAAACAGGCGGCTCTTGATGTCGCTTCACTAGCTTTATAACCTACGCCGGAAGTACTGCAATTTTGCTTTTTGGACCGTTTATTCGACATTTTTGCTCTGTTTGTAGTTTTGTTTTCCATTTTTGCTGTCTGAATCTAGATGCTGCCGTTTTTCATTGAATTTTGCCTCGCTAGTTTTCTTCTTTTTAGAAAAGGTTGTTGTCAATGATTGCATTTAGCTTTCAATCAGACTAGAATAAACAACACGAATCACTTTTCCAGCAGTCGGTTATCGCCGTTTTCATTTCTTTGTTTATGTACTTATTAATCGCATCGCCTTCTTTAAATGAAATTCAACTCAAAACCTTAAGATTGGTATGTGCAATTAGCTCTTTTAATAAAGCCCTTGTGTGCAGTTTTCATCCCGCTCGATTGAGCTAATCTTAATGTAATTTATATTCAGTCGTTGAAAATCTTTGCCGTATTTTTTTTTCATATGGCTTTTAATACCAAGTTCGTCAATTCTTTTATCCTTGTTATCCTACCGAGATACAAAAGCCTTTCTTTATTCTAAGGAGAGCTTAATTGTGATAATATAAATTTCAAGTCAAAAATCATGTTGAGTAATGCTTTGTTTTGGCTTCGCGCGCTTTATCAACACGAACGCATCCTACTACAACACACATTGGTTGGAGGCTGAAGAAAAACTTTCCTGAAATAATTAAATCTCAGTAGGAAACAAAACAGAAATGTTATTCACCGGCCTAGGTCGGTCCGTATTAATACGGACCTCCCAGCCGGTGAAAAACGTATATTTGTTTCCTGTAGTGTTTTTGATTGCCTTAAATGTACGCTTTTTTAAAGGTTTCAAAGGGTGTGGGCGGTGGGGGAGAGCTCATCATGGAGACCCATTGCCGATCAATGGCCAGTACAATATCAGGCCTACAAACAAATAGTGGGAAGATGGTGCTCGACAACCAGAATGAACCCCCGGAATGCAAAAGGTATAGTAAAAAGGTTTAAAGGGCCGACCATATTGTGTTAGGTTTCCTTGGACTTGCAAATAGTTCTGTTGTATATTTTGATGTACGTAATTCACTTAAATTTACGAGAAAACTAGAGGAAACAAAGCCTTGCGAGACTGAAAGAAATAAACTGCTCTGGAATTTTGAAATAAATAAGGACCATCACATTTTCCTATGATTTAGCTATTGCTCGTGTGGGAAAGAGAGCCTTTCTTTTGAACGGCCTTGAGTGCCTGTTTAACACTAGGATATATAACAGGGAGAGAGAGAATGGATCTTTCCTTAGGAGAACTCTCTAAACGGACAGCTCTCTGCGGACTTGTTGGCTTTGTCCTCTTTTTAAATTCTTCGAGTCTTGTTCACCGATAAATGAATTCCCCCTTTCCCACCCAACTTAAAACTACAATTAATAACGATAACTTCTCCAACTGTATCACTAGCAAAAGACCCTAGCTGTTTGCAGATACCAATCAGAAACAAGTCAAACGCTCTTACCGAACCTCTTGAATACATTTGTGTTCGATGATTTGGTTTTCCTGTTGGATGCTACTGGCATTTCGATAGAAATTGTAGGCGTTACTGTAATAAGTAACTGTGCTCCAGTCTTGAGCTTGGGATTCGGCTTATTCCAATCCGCACTTAGTCTGATCTGTGGGGATCAATATTCCACATACCCATGAAAGATCACAATCACATATAACAAGGTTATCACATGGAGGCTACGATCACAAGATAGTAGCGTGACAGAAAAATGTTGCTAGAACTTAAAGATAAATATTTGAATTAATTTTCAGTGTTTTGCTACTATTTCTCAAAACATAGTTTGACCTTTTAAGTCAATGATGAGTAATTACTATAATTTATGATGTACACAGGGAGAAATATTCACTTAAAAAATATGTTCTAAACTTTCGTACTCAAACGCGTTATAGCCTATCAAATCGGCCAGAGATGATTTTCCAGTGAAAACAATCTTTCCGGCTTTCAATCCAAATTGTGAAAGATGCTTTTAATTTTATGCGTCGGAGAAAAAAAAACAAAACAAAAAAAAAACAAAGAACAGAAACAAAAACAATAACAAATCGTACAATCAAAGCACACGTTTTCAACCCGACAGTGTTTACATTGCTCCTCTGTGGTCATTAAAAAACCGAACTTCGTCACCTTCTTCATGTATTTCGGAAATAGCTTGCTTGATTTGCTGTGAAATTTCTTAGTTTGTTACGGCAGCAAGCCGGGAAAGCATTTTGCTCGCAACCTACGCGAGTTTGGCGTCGCTCGCTCGGAGGAACTGGAGGTGAATCAGTGAATAGTGCAGGATATTCACTGATTGAGTAGCCAATCAGAGCTCGCGAAAAACACTATCCACTGTTTTAGTATATACTAAATAAAAATATACAAAACTAAAAAGGCTTACTGAGCGATACTTTTAAGGAAGTTTTAAACTTTAGTAGCCATTTTTTTTCCTTTTTTATTCAAGCGGAATACTCTAAATTCAGTTTTAAACATAGATTGAGAAAAAGTAGTGAAACCTTTTAATCATAATTCTCAGCGAGTTTTGGAGTTCCTCCTTATACAGACAGAATTACAGTACTTCCCCGCTGATCATCGGCGAGCTTGGCAGTTCTTCTTTGTAAAGACAGGAGTACCTCGCTACTGATGTAAGGATAGCTTTATAAAAGCAAGCTTTCTTTGTATTTTTCTTTTTTTAACGAAAGAGAAATTTAAATTTGGAGAAGTTTAGATGTGATTCACTACATTTATTTTCAACTAATCAAAGATCGGAGGGTGATGGAAGCAAGTAATTCCACTTCATTTGGTTAGAAACCTTGGCTACAACTTAGGATAATCAGCTAGGCCAAATTTTGACGTTTAGTTAGTCTTTCAGTTACGTTTCTAAGTGAATATTTATTTAGTATCTTTGTGTTCGTTTTAACTATTTCTTTTTCGGTATAGATTGGTGATCCTGACTTTTTCACTAAGCATTATATCATAATCCTGACCGTTCGGTGAGTTATATGACAGCTCTTTGTACTCCAGCGGCATTCACCTCCTAGTACAATTCTTCCATTGGCTGATACCGAATGGTGTAGACTTCCCTAAGGAAAAAACGAATTAACTTAGGATGTCCTAAGAGTCCAGTAAAAAGAAGACATAAGAAAAAGAAAGAAATAGCCTAGGTCCCTTAGTCAAAAGGCATCAATTACAGTCTGTCTTTGTATAAACTTACGGACACTTCAGCTGTTCCGTGAGCTGTTATTTCCAAGAATAAACCCGCAGGTATTGGTATCACTCCAAAACGAATGTATTTAGTTCCCCCAAGCTGCTTTTTAAACTTTCGTCCAAGTCTTCCGGTATGGCTGAAGAAGCAATAAATATGAGTAACAGCTTTGTCAACCAAACAGCTTCATATGTGTTGCCTTAGGGCAAATAACTGGAATGGAATGATCCGTCAGAGCAATGTCTAACCAATTGGAAAGAACATTATTTATATGCTTCTGAAATAAGCTCGGTTAGATTAAGTGTCAGGAGCTCCCCGGTTCTTCTAGTAAATGTCTCCCCCCACAGTCCAACAATTTCGTCCGTGAATATTCCGTCTTGGCTGAGAGGCGCCCCGGATTTTTTGGGGGAGGGGACAGGGGAGTGTTGTCGTTTATTTAGAATCTAGCTTAATAAGCCTTGTAATCGTTGGGCGCCAAAGCCTTCTTGTCATGTCAGAGAATACAGGATTCCTTAATCGCAGAAAATGCTTATACGTTCTCGCTTAAGTCTTTATATTTGTTTCGGTAATCACATGATTTCGAGTGCCATTTGGAATAAATAAGCACGAGTAAATTTTTCAAAGACCAACAATAGTGCACGAGCCCGTAGGGCGAGTGCACTTTGTGGTCTTTGAAAAATTCACAAGTGCTTATTTATTCCAACTTGCACGAGAAAAATCATGTGATTACTTATTAATAATATACACGAAAAACATAACTACAACAACAAATTTCGACACCGCGCGCGTTTTTAGTTCATTCAACTGATTGGCTGAAACAGACTAGTACCTTTGTCAAGTTCAAACTTTTTCAAGACCAACGCTTTCAAAATCATTCATCTAAGAACTTGGAAATGTGCAAGGATTTTTTTTTATAAGGTCACCAGTCTGCTAAAGATAACTTGCTTTACAATAATCAGCAAAAGTAAATGTTTTTAAATTCATCCTCGATTATCACAGCTCGGCGTTTACAAGAAGCCTTTCCAAGAAATATACTGCCGTTTTGAAATCAGGAGAACGCTTCGAGCAGGCAAAGATGAAAGACACTTGCTAAGGTTTTTTAACGACTGTACATCATTGTCTGTTCCTGAGACCCCATCATAACTGGATTCATGGAGAAATTTTTGAGATTTAAAACCCGAAAATGAAGGAGGCAATTTGTTTTCTTTCGACGCTACTATCGATGGGTGAGTGGAGCGACAGTTGTTGTGATGTCGGAAACTACCAGTATTAATATAATATTTGCTTTTTCTCAGCGCTGGAGTTGTCATTATTTCATTTGGCATACTGCAAGAGTCATCGTACGTCTTCTTCGTCGGCTTCATCGTAGTCGTTAAGGAAATTTTTACCTCTGTGGCCTGTGACATTGACGATATGTTCTGAACTTACAACTTTACTTTCTTCAGCTTCCTGACTGTTGTTTTTCTTGCACAATGATTCGTAAACTTTTTTCTCAATTTCTTTGAGGCTAGTACCAGCTGCGGCTACTGTCATTATGTGAGTTATGGTATTTTCGCCCATTGGTTTAGTTTGGACCAGATGTTTAAATTTTCGGTTTCGTTTGCTACTGAGGTAGAAAAAAAAAATGCAGACCATCGCATGGATGTTTTAATAGAGGTCTTCGCTCCACAAAAGACTCAAAGAGAGCAACAAATAACGTACGTGACTTGAAATCTCTGTTGTTATCATGGAATTGTATCCTTGTTCATTTAAATGTCTGAAGAGTGTAGCTGTCATGGATTGCGTGTGGTTGCAACCGTTTTTGTTCTTTATTTTTTTACTTTAGCGTAGACTCTTATAAGTAGCTTGTTTTTTAGTTTCTCTGCCTCATTTTCCTCGATTTTGTTGACAGTATTTTTCTCTTAGCAACGCATTTTCAATACATTTAGCCAGAAAGACGTACTTTTTACTGTTTTCGGGTTTTTGGATTATATATTTTTTAACTTTTCTATTGTTGTTTTGCTTACAAAATTAAATCCTGTCGTCGTCTGCTGAAAACCATGGCCATGAATTTTTGTTGTTAAAACAGCTCTAATCTGAGTGGTTCTTGTTGGTTTCTTTTGTGTTTTCAGCCAATCAGAAAACATTTGTAATTTGCACTCGTGTTACACATTTTGCACTCGTGTTACAGAAGAGCTGCACTCCTTTCTCAGCCAATCAGAATTGAGTATTTTTTTCGTGTATATTATTGAAAGTGAAGAATAATCATCGCAGTGAATTTTCCAATTTAAGCAATTGGAAAGAAGAAGCCTGAAAAAAAAAAAAAATCAGGGCTTCAACGGGATTCGAACCCATGACCTCCGCGTTGCCGGTGCGTTGCTCTACCAACTGAGCTATGAAGCCACACATTGGGAGCGAGGTCAATTTATTGAGTTCATATCTCCCGTGAGGAGTGAAATGATGTGAATTATATGAAATAATTCATATTTGAACTGCGGTTGTAGATGAAAGTGAAGAATGATCATCGCAGTGAATTTTCCAATTTAAGCAATTGGAAAGAAGAAGCCTGAAAAAAATCAGGGCTTCAACGGGATTCGAACAATAACTGAGTGATTTGTCGCGCGCTGATTAGGTATTTTGATTCATCAATAAGAAGACAGATAACCGTTAAACATCTGCATCTAGAAGATTACGCTAAAATGTTCCTCATATCAAAAAAGTTAAAAAAAACAAACAGTTAATAAGACGACGAGATTTTGCTTAACAACTAACGTTATTATCAAGTCAAAAAACAAGTGTCTGTTGCAAAATATATAATAGACAATGCTTAATTAAAAACCGAAACAACAACAACGACAACAAAGGCAATTAGGTGTCGAGAATGTTAGCTCAAACAAAGAGTGTTAGGAATTGATTGAACCATAAGCTTAAATACAAAATTTGAAAGGTAAAATGGCACGTGCAAGATAACCGGTCTGTAAGTCAAGTTTATTCAGAATAAATACATTTAATTACAGTAGCGTTCTTTGGCGTAATTAAAAGTGCTTTTGTGATAGCGAAAAAAGCGCGAAATTTTGAATCTCTCGTTAAATCTTTTTCCCTCACGCATTTAAGGGCTCAAATTGCCTGTCATGAATAAAAAGGAGATTTGAGCCAAGTAATGTTTAAGGAAATATTTCACGACAGTTTGAAAATTTCGAAATATTGTAACGATTTGTATGGAGAACCATTCAAGGGTGGCTGGTTGGCAAGAGTTGTTTTCCCATACAAATCCTTCGAAATTTCGGCGGCCGTTGCAATCGCTACTTTTGAGGTTACCCAATTTTAATATGCGCTTTCAGCTCGTGCTAACAAAACCTGTCAAAAGGGAACTGTTTTCGTGTTTACGGAAAGTTGATCACGTGATCCGCTAATGCAAAAGCCTATTTCTGCTCGAATATGCCGTTAGGAATCCTGACTGCAATCTCTCTCGAACTTTGGAAAACAAGTGACTTCCTAATGTATACAAGGCAGTGGCGTAACTCAAACCTGTCAATTTTTTAGCGAATGAAACTCCTTCAGTAGCCAGTTTAGAAAAGGTGGTAAATTAGCAATTTGCATAGTGTTTTCTGGTGTTATCTCTTCATTCCTCCCTGCATTTTGACTTTTTCGAGAGCAAATTCTTAAAACCGTATTTATTCGATTAAAAGCAGCGGCGTTTATTAAATTTTCAGCGTTTCCGATGCGGCGTTTATTCGAGGGCGGCGTTTACTTCGAAATCACTTTTCTTAAATCACTGACAACAGTTACGGCCTGATAACGTTTGTAAATATTATGTAGTTTGAAGGTTACATTGTCCCTCTTATTTTGCTGTGATAGAATCCTAATTGTCTGGGTGGTGAAGATTACGAAGTTGTACCCAGTTTTTTCTTACTATCCTCGAATAGACGCCGCATTCTTTCGATTAGGTGCGGCGTTTATTCGACGGTCGCGTTAAATCAAATAAATACGGTAACTAAATAAGAGTAAAACCTAAAGAAAACACATCAAACCTCAGTTTTTTGTTGATCTTGATTTCCAGAGTAGAATCCACATTCCCCTCTAACTTTAAGCCAATAGTGGCCTCTTTGAGTGTTCCCCAAAAGCTCTTTTCAATAGACACAAAAGCGGTCAGCGTAAGGGATGCTGTCAGACGTGCTTCAACTGTCGCTAATGCACTGGACATAATCTGTTCGAAAGGAACCATTGAAGAGCTAAGTAAAATTAAGTTGTAATAAATCTGAGCCATTTTAGAGCCAAGTCCTCCTTCTAGCTATAAAATGCTCGATTAGTTGCGATAATATGGTGCTTTTATTTTCGAATTTCCCGCCATTATTGTAGCAACATCGAAGTTTAAAATGTTTTCTAAAAATAATAGATCGAAATTCTTTTTAAAAAAACCATCTTTTTTATGTAATTAATTGAAATTTTAATTTCGATGTCAATCTCATGGCCTCATTTTCCCGTAAAAACCATTAGAATTGGGGAATAAAGTGAAATACGGTTAATGGGAATACACAAAACACAAAGCTGGCATGCTGGAGACTTCGAGCTGTGTAATGCCGACAAAAGCTTACTTTAATGCAGTTTTTGGAGGCTGATGACCTATACTAGCGTAAAAGCACTTTTAGGATCAACTAGAAAAGACGAGAAAGAAAAACAAACGCTCCTCTTCGCACCTCCCCCTCCCCTTCTTCCTCCAAAGTTTTTTTTTTTCTTTCCTGTGCCATTTCAGGTTGTTTTGTAGGTTAACAGAAAAATGGCTAACAGGAAATACTAGAAATCGCCTTTATTACATTTGAGAGCCGAAGGGCGAACGTGGAGCTAAGCAGATGGATAAGGAAGTCATCCGTGCACTCACGCAAGATTTTTTAGCTATCGGTATGTCCATTCAACTATGTAAATCCGAATGCGAGATGTTAATCGTTTTAAGCGGCATTTAATAGAAGGTCTGATTTTAGCCCTGGTTACGAAATCTATACATTATAAATAGCTCGGATTTCTTAACCTGAGACCAGGCCCAATTTTAGCAGTTCTCATACATTCTCTCTTTCGTGGTCGTGCTAAAATTGGACTGTTTTCGTTTCGCCTTGCCCGCCGGAATATTATTTAAACAGCGAAACGAAAATAGAGCCTGATCTCAGGTTACGGATTTCTTTACCGCGTGCTTTATTTCACCAGTGTTGAAAACGTCCAACGACAGCTGGTAACTATCCGTTGAACGTCTTTTCCGCCTGTGGAAATTTTGTAGTTTGTCTATTTCCACTACCGTGCTGATTGTTCCGTTTTCATTCAAATTAGCAGAAATAACCTCCACCAGGAAAAGGTTCCCGCTCGAGGTCACCTTTATAACCTGCGAGGATGAATAAAGATACATATTCCAATTAATATAGCTTCCTAAGTCATTTTTCAAGTTCTTTTATTCCACTACCGTGCTGATTGTTCCGTTTTCATTCAAATTAGCAGAAATAACCTTCACCAGGAAAAGGTTCCCGCTCGAGGTCACTTTTATAACCTGCTAGGATGAATAAAGATACATATACCAATTACTATAGCTTCCTCAGTCATTTTTCAAGTTCTTTTATAGAATCGCACAGAATAGTAAGACGTAAATCATTCTGAAAAAGGAGCCTACATACGTAATATATAAGTATTAGTATATAAGTAATGTTAATAACTGTCCGAAGGAGCAAATATTGCCTAGAAGTTTCTAAAGCTCGAGAAACGCTAAAAAGTACTGGATAACCGTTTCATTTGTGTAGTTCTTACAAAGTCTGCCATTTTCAGAGGTTGTGTTTTTCACATTTTTATTACCAAGCTGTTGTAATTACTGTTAAAAGCGATCTTTTGGAAATTACGGTATAAAAACAAAAAGAAGTTAGTGGTCTTGTTACATATTTCAGGGCGGAGACAACATGGTCCAACCTTTCCTGGACCCTTATCCATGGGCTTCAGAAAGCTTATCGTTGAAATGAGTAAAAAAAAAAAAGAAGAAATTGTGTTCCTATAACAATATATGCGTCCGCGGACTCATGGCTTTCAAGGGCGCCCAGGGAGGGAGGACAAACCATCAATTACGGTCCTCTCGGGATACACCACGGTACTTTCAGTGCAAATTCCGCCAAGAATCCCTCGTTTCGATTTTCATTTATGGCTTTAATTTAGGCCTGATAAGTTACCTGGACTTTCGAGAAATGAGTCCCTTACCAAGAGGATATATGTGTAAACAACAAAAGTTTCGAATAAGAGGCACAAAAGGGTTAAATCGTGTTCTAGGCGTTCAGATCCGTGGACGGCGCAAAGAAGAGAACTTATTTTCGCCCAAGCCTGGAGCAAGCCTTAGACGTTCTGATCACTGAAGGGAACGTAAAAATTCTGTTTAAATTGGTAACCACCGGAAAAAATAAAAATAAACAATAAAAATAAAAAAAACACTGTAAGATGCAAGGGAATACCTTGGCAATAAAGCGATTGCTTGGTCTTCCTACTATTGAATCATTTACAGCAAACCTTTGAGCAGCAGCGTCTTTCGGTATTACTATCAGTCCTAAGTTGTTGTCTCCTCCATTACAATATGCCGACTTGGAAAGAACTCGTGTGCTTTCTCTTAATCTAGGTGTTCAAAGGAATATAAGACCAGAAATGCTTCAAATGTACGACATTGAAGTTTATTTACCCTCGAAAGTGAAAGATAAATACAGTGTATACTCTCATAGCAGTTAGTACAAACCAAATTCTTATGCAAATAGGCTTCTATTTTTAAAGGCCAGAAATGAACTGACAAATATTCAAAAAATTGAATAACCACAAGGTTAAATAAAGCCAAATTGCATACTCTTGCCTCTGCAAAAAAAATCTATCGGCAATTTACAAGCCTGGTCGGATAAGTTAAACCGGAGATTGCGAATCAGCTACTCCAGTTAGTGGTCCAAGCGGGATTTGACCTAGGAATGTTTGTCAGTCCAGCGTCCTGAGCATTTGGCTGCCTCCAAAAAAGTATATAAATAAATAAAGACAATTAATTTAAATTAAGGACAATGACCGTAAACTTATCAAAAACAAGCACCCTAAAGACGGTTTGGTTGTAGACTCTAAGTCGATCATAGTATGCCGGATCTATCTGGTAGGACGTACACGTCCTCGCTGTAAACGCGTCGACGGTTAATTAAAAGCAGTTTCGCTGTGATAGAGTCGTCAGGATAACTTGTTGTTCATTGCCGGATTCAGACCCTGAGATAAGGCGGCGGTCTCCAAAAAAATTTTTTCCCGGGCCCCTCCCCTGGATCCGCCATTGTTGTTTAGGGGAAATAATTATGGGTTGAATAAGGCCAGGTTTTAATTATTCGTCTCTAACAAGTACGACTTTTGAGTGAAAAGTGGTGCGTTGTCCTCAAAAAAGAGCCTGTCCGCTGATGTGATCTTAGTGAGAAAAATCTTGAAAATGATATTTTACTATAACACGGAGATTTCTGGTGCGCTGATTGGTAGAGCGCTGTGGTCGATAAGAATACCGATCATGTGGAAATGACGTGATGGTGGCGCAATTAATTCTTCTCTTTCTCGTACGCGCGATTTCCCGGGACTTCAACGAGTATGGACGTAAAAACTGTCACTGTTGTGGAAAAAAAACATCAACAACAATTTTCCATGGTCTATGCTCTTATCGCCCACAGACATGACGTCAAAATATTAAAACTTGCCAGTGAAACCACTCGCCTGCGCCTCGTGGTTCCACTTGAGTTTTGAACATTTTTACGTCATTTTTATGATCGATAAGAGTATAGACGATGGAAATTTGTTGTCGATTTGTTAACCTCAGCATTTTTGGCAAGTTTAGCCTTTAACGAAATTTTGATATTTTGGAAGTAACTTACACAAGACCACCCACCTTTTAACGGCGGAGCTCCACGCCCGCCCTTCGCGCGCGCGTGTGGGCGGAGCCCCATAGCTAAGAAAATCTATCCATCCTAGAAAATTTGGTAATCACGTGACTGCACACCGACCACCTCTGTCCGTCCGCACCACGGAGAAACCAACGTTTTATCTCACACTTTCTAGCTATAGATGGTAGTTTGGGATCCCTGGTGCAACCTGATAATGCACATCCAAGTTGTGATCAATTGACAGCTGTCAAAACAGGGTATCCGCTGACCAGTAACCACCTGGCCGTACCGCGGGCTCAGGTATCGGCCCATCGAGGTCGAGTATTTTTTGAGGTTATCCGCTGACAAATTACTAGTTTTCAAATGATCACAGGCTCAAGTTCATTTCCTTTTGAGATGCACAGGAAACAAGTTGTGCTTATGAGCTGTACTTATAACATTTTGATTTCAAACTGACCTCGGACGCGAAAATTGAGCCAGTTTTTACAGATATGGAAGGCAGTTACTTTTGACTCACCATGGTTACGCGTTGGTCACGCTCTACGTGCAATTTTTATGCTCTGAATGGTCAAAATTAGACTGGCAAGTTCATGCGGAAAATTTATGCAGCATCTGGAAACTTGTTTACTGATAGCTGAAGCTGACAGAGTTTAGTGTCATCTTGTGATGTTTTTAACTGTCTTTTTTCACTGGATGTACAAAATAAAATACAGCGGCTGCTTTCAAGATTCTTCTGTTTTTCAAGGCTGGTTTGCTTATTGGGTTATCGGTTGAGAAATGCGCCGCTTGTGAAAGTCATTGGAAATCCGATTTCGGATGGCAACGTGTTCACCTCGCTTGATGCGTAAGAGGGTTGAAAAGTATCAAGCGATTCTGGCCTTACTTGATAGCTTTCTGGAGCTGCATCTCGACTGGTAAGCCTGAGTAGTTATTTTTTTGATGATTTGTTGTTGTTTTGTTTAGTTTTTTTCTGGTTTCATGAAGTCGAGCGCAGTTTACGCGGCTAAGCACGTTTGTAAGATTTGAGACAAAGGATCTGACCTAGTATCAGGTTTGACGAGCTCATTGAACTTTAAAAAGCCTTCAGAAATTTTCTGACCGAAAATAGAAAGAAAACGTTCCGAGTAATATCTACTTATAACTTTGGCCTTAAAAAGAAAGCTTTGAGCTATTTTCTTGCCTCGAGTTCATCTCGAAAAATAGCAAACACTGGAAAGCCGGCTTATAACAAAAATATGCGTTGTTTACATGCTGAAGCTTAGTTAATACATGACTCAGGATTTTCAGAGACACTTTAATCTCAATACTTGTCTTTGTGAATGAAAATTGTTGTCTCTGCAATTGTTTTACCGAATTTTATTTCTTTTATTGATTGTCAGTAGTGTCTCTTGCAATTTTTTTAAAATCGCTTTGTAGGTTGTTTTCAGTCGAACATGAACATCGCTTGCAGGACTACTCAAAATGCCGCCTATATCAAACGCTTTTAAAGACACTCGATTACACGTAATAAAACCATTAAATGAAGAATTAAAATTATAAATTATTTATTACGTTGTTCAAACACGCCAGCTTGCACTGCAAATTTGGCGCTTGTCTAAAGTAAGAACCGAATAAATGTATAGGTGATTTCGGAAATTTTACAAAATTTTTAATGAAAGCACATTATTGCCCTGCATAACACATAGGAGCAGATTATTTTGACTGAACAGTCCCGACATTATGGAATTCTTATCATGGAAATGTTTTATACTGATGTGGTCAATTCTACAATCTGTTTTTCAAAGTAGTCAGGTCTCTTAGTGCAAAATATAGGCCGAATCGTTACAGACGTGGCAAGTGTCAAATTTGGCACAGAGCTTCCTTAGCACCTGCCGATTAATACTGGAGGGGGTGCCCGTTACAAATGGTCCTAATTACAGATAAAAGGAAGGGGGGGTGACTTTCTCCTGTAATAGCAGATTGGGTGCCCTGTGGTGAGTACTCTTCTTGTTTGATTTGGCTAAAAAACCATTTGTTTCAAATTTTTAAGTTTTTAATTTGGTAATGTTTAGTTATTGTTACACTATTCAAAATAGTTTTACATGTACATAATACTGACTAGTGCCCAGTCTCCACACGGACAACGCGCCCACTGTACAGCTAAGATTAGACTATAATTTGCTTCGTTGGTAACCCTGTCCTTGAGATAATGATTAAAACGTGTCAACCTCGTCCTCAGGGGGAAAAGGAGGAGCAAGAGTGACACAGTTGGTTAGTGCGCAGCCTTCGGTGTGCGAGGTCCCGAATTCGATCCCCGGTGTTTCAACTTCTCTCCTTTCTGTCTAGCTTTGACTAGCTTTAAACACCTTTAAAAAGGAGCATTAATGGAGAGAGGGAGGTAAAAGCAGCGCACCGTCGACCTCAAGTTTATCAGTTATTATTACTGTCATGAGTTATTGACGTAAGATATGGCCGCTTTACCTTTTTCTACCTTTCTATTAAGCCCAGGGGACGAGGTTGTAAAACATGCCTCTCTAGGAATTTTTAACACTCTTTATTTTTTACACATTTGCATTGAAAAAGAAGTGTATGAGGTCCCTGCATGCCTAGACACCTGTAAGGAGCTCATTCACTTCAGAGCCCTCGCACCAGAGTGTTAATGGTAGGTCTATACGATCTTTCAAAAAAAGGAAGGTCGTCGCGTGCGTTACAATTCATAAACAAACTAACTTCAGAAGAGCTGAAAGTTACAGGAACAAGGCTTCTTTAAGCCAACCAAGGATACATCATTTATGAACATGAATGTAATTTGTTTGCTGCAATTAGGCAAATACCCCGTGGTTACGAAATCTTACGATCATAAATTCCTCAAGAGCAATTCAGTTGAATACCAACTTTTCAAAAAATAATGCCGTGGAAAATTACAGAAAATACCAAAAAAAGCAAGGGTCAACAAAAATTATCGCCTGGTCCCTCATAAAAATGGAGTGGTTATGATAAAGAAGCCCATCAACCCCAACTTTGACCACTCAAACAGATTTCTGACCGATTACATACCGCAAAACTTTGCATTCACTTATGCCTATGTTGCCACAGCAGGAGCCTAGAAATTGGCTCCTGGTCACACCTTGTTTTTATTGCTGAATATCATTCTAAAGAGCTTTACGAAATAGTTTGGTTGGTAGGGGTGTTTTGAACATGATTGAAATATAAAGATGGTGACAAAAACGAACACAAAAAAAGTCACAAAACGAGACGCATGAAACAATCGCAATCTACTATTCGTGTTGCACCGATTAAATGGCTCCTTTAGCTGCTATGCTGACGTTTTTGAAGATGGAAGTAGTATTACAGCTAGTCCCGGGATAGGTAACTGTTTATTACCAGTTTCACGGTTCTTGAGACTTAGGGCCTGTTAACATAAAGGTGGGGGACCCCAGGTAGGTGAAGTAACCTGCTTAGGTGGGGTACAAAAATAACCCTCCTTTACATGCAATCTTACAACCCCGCCATCCTGCGGTGCACTTTTTCAAGATTATTGACTGGTCGCTAAGCACGTAAACAAGAAAAATGCTGGCAAACCACGTCTACGCTGACTTGCTGCTCTTGCTGCAACCTTCAGTTTTGTGGCTTTCTATCGTTACCTTTAATAATTATGTGAAGCCACCCGGCGCCAAAGTGAATTTTGCGCGAATTTGATGTATCACGAATCCGACCCCGACTAGCCTGGGTTACCTCACCTTGAAATGCTGACATGGCAAAATTTGACCTCAGCTGAGAGGGTTACCCGGTGTGGCAGACCGGGCTACCCACCTTGACGGGTCACCCCACCTATCATGTAAACGTGATCAAATTAAAATGAGGGATTATATGAACAGGCGGGTTACCCCACCTAAGTGGGTTACCGTGCCCACCTGGGGTCCCCTTCCTCCATGTAAACAGGCCCTAAAAGTTAGTCCGGCCCCCTTTCTACAGTTTAAGCAGTTAAACCATTCACCATTTATCATTTGAGTCAACCTTGTACCACTCGAGTCTCACTTTTACAACTTGATAAGCTGTTATTATTTTTGGACATGAGTGCTTCAGTCCCAAATGCAGAGGCTTCATGATGAACTGTGCTGTTTTGTGAAGTTTGGGCTCACTTGTTTCTTTTTTTCGTTTATGAGACCAGATTCTTTTTTTTTGTTTTTGCTTTGTTAAGCTTAGACAAACTGCGGGAATTGTAAATGATATGACTTGAGCCACAATGCTTTATTCTCTGTCAAAACATGCACGTGCGTCCTATGTTTAGCTGAAAAATTAATTACCTCCTCAGGAAAAAACTATTTTGGGTTCTGTCATTTCGTTATTTGCTCTTTATGAACAGCTTCATAAATTTCTGATAATATGTGATACAACAGACTCTTTGACAATTTCTTTTTTTTCTAAAATTTTGTGTGTGAATCCCTACGTCATACGCTTTCTTTAGTTTAAAGTGACATGTACTGACAAGTAATACTTGATAAATACGGCTTAAGCCACACAATAAGGCCTGCTCTAATTGAAATACATTAGAAAAGGAGAAGAGAACCCCAGAAGCTGAGTACTTGCAAGTTATGAAGCAAAGACGAGGCCATCATCTTAGAAATGACTTATGAAAATGTGGGCGGACTGTGGACTTGCTTTAATTAAGGGCACAGTAATAATCAACTTGCAATCAATAAGCTAATAATGGATGGGATTGCCAGATGTTCAAGTGAAATTGTTGTTTACAACATGAGAAGAGTATTCTGAGTGATTTATTTTATTTTCAATAGAAATACCACAGGGACCCCAGCAGGTGAAATTTACAATAATTAAATCCTGTTTAGCACGCTTCAGTGGCATATTTGCATTGGGCACCCCCTCTAATATTCATGGTACTGCAATAAGCTATCTCTGTACAAGGTTTGGTGCTTTTGTCAACTCTGTAACGATCCTGACCTTAAGAGACCTGACTAAAGGAAGCGCGTGCTTCGATCGTCCTGATTATTGAATGAGCACAATTTGTCCTGCAAAATTGTGACAAAGCGCATTCTGTCCACGGTATGTAAGCTTACTATAAAAACACCGCCTCATAGTGCTGTTTACCTCAGATCTGATGTATAAAAAGTATAAATGGCTGGCTTACACGTCGCCAGATTCAATAGTTGGCAAGGTTTTGTTAAGTACACTTGTCGAACACAAAAAATTCGGCTTGATTTTTTCATTTTGGCCTCCCCTTTAGACAAAGGAATGCAACCTATAAACTACAAAAGTGTAAATTGGCTAATCTACTGTGATCAAGAGCCTTTGTGGCTCTTGACTCGTCGAAGATGATGATTGCAATTTTTTGGATGTACATATAACTCGATGTAAGATTTTTTCACTCTTGAACTGTTGGCAGATTATTTTTCTAATTATTAAATCATTTAGCCTTTCCCTCAAAAGTCGCATGAATACGCCCTAATGTGTTTGTTTTAAATAATAAATTTATTATTGGGAACTTCGCTTTTAGCCCTGGCTAAATCTATATATTACTGATAGATACAGAATTATCTTAAGTACTTAAATTAAAAAGAAATAAAGCACACTAATTCATACCCTGTACTATTCCATTGTGAATTTTCGTGGCACCGCTGCAGTTTTGTCTCTAAATAAAGTGCGTCAGCACTGGTGTTATGAGCGGCAACAACAGTCTCAATAAATCCATCACTTGAATTTGATACCACGATATCGCCCTTCCTGGGTATCGTTTGGTTATTTTCAATCACCAAGTAGTAGGAGTATACAGAAACTCCACCAACGTCGTAGGTGTGTCCAAGACATTTGTATACTACTACAAGCAACCGAATTAAAAAGAAAAAGGAAATTAAAGATCGGTTGACAAATCGATTAAATTACTAACCAACAACGCAAAGAAGAAGTTTATGAATGGATAATAATAATAATAAAATGATAATAATAATAATAATAATAATAATAGGAAGAAGAAGAAGAAGACGAAGAAGAAGAAGAAAAAAATACTTTATTTATACTGCGAAACATTGATCAGCTGAGTTATAAAAAAAAACAGCTGGTATAAACCTATGTGCAGTAATAAAATTTTTCAAGATTAAAAAAGTAGTACGTAGTAAAAAAGCGAAAAGGCTGATATATACAATAAAACTGAACGTGCATGATCGAATTGACCATTCAAACAACGCATGAATCAGTCACTAAAGCAGCCCGTCTGTTACTCACATAGCGATTTATGACTATTAATGGCATTCGTTTGTCAGGATTATTTGGGGTTCAGTCAACTTCCGAATTATTTAGTGGGATATATTGAGCTGCACTGTGAGACATACAATGTGGATTTTCATCGGTCGCTTTGAGACCAATATATGACTCTACTGGTTTTTCAAGTAAAAACTTTCATCAAAATGACAGTAGCTAACAGTGAGCCTGCCGAAAGGAAAAAAACAAAGGTCAGTAGAAAAAAGGGAGAGGCAATAGCTTATTTTCTTACAATCTTGCAGGATTGCAATGCGGCTGCCATTAACTGTAATGTTGCCGGAAAGTAGAGCCTGTATTTCCTGTTCGTCTGGCGAGTCTTCCAGGGTTGCTTGGTCATCTAGAGGCTCCACCAACGTCTCTTTCTTGAAGTCTGCATAATTAATTACGTCATCTAATCCTGCAGGGGCGCCCAGCATTATCTTGAAAGGGCCTTTTTTAAGATATGAAAAACATCAATTGACAAAGAATATAAACCTTAATTGTTTTTACTAGCTTAACAAAAAATAATTCAATTTATTGAAACTCAACTATAAAAAAGTAAGTAACATTATTTTCCCACCCACAAATACCCTAGGAACTAATCGAGGCGGGGGAAGGAAAGACAATTATTTACATTACAAGGTTCTAGTACATGGACTAAACGACAACGAGTACGCTACAATACGATTTGAATAACACAACATTAAACAAAGTAAGAAGAGAGACTAACGTATTGTATAAAACAACTTTATAAAAAATAAAGAAGGGGACTTCAAAGTAATCGTCTTCTGATGGCAAGAGACTCAGCAGTAAAATCTCCGCCTGTTTCCAAAAAGAGTGATCGCTTGCCTGTGAGCGTGTTAGTTGAATAAGGAATACTGAGTTTCAAATGTGAGGACTGATTCTATTGAAAGAGGCAGACATTTTATGAGTCCTTGAGAACGTTACATAAAGAGATTAGTCAGAGATATATAGATCTTTTTCTGTAGTTATGGATCAGACTTGTTTTGTTTTAGTAAATTGATTGAGTATGCTTACTGGTACTGTCTCTCTATTGATATCATACAGTAGATAGCAACAATCTCTGAAAAAATTGGCTGGGTAAGGAAAGCCAAGTCGATTTAACAAACAAAGGTAATCATTAGACTTTAGGCCCTTTTTTAGTGGAATTAAGATGAATCTTTCTTCAAAACGTCTTGTCACAATTTCCCCAATCGCAGATGCCATAAGGTAAAAAAGGAACGAGTTATGAAATTTATACTGAAAGTAAAACACGACGTGGGGTACAGTGTCGAATCTTAGCGATAGTTTCTATTGACTTGCTGATTTTATGACTAATAGATTCCGTGTGATATTTAAATACGCCACTTGCACATCTCCCATAATACCCCTTTTTGCCGTTGTTTCCAAATTGTCTTGGGGCGGGTTAATACCCAGGAGGAATGAAAAACAAAGGTTAACAAAATTTTTTCTTTTTTTGTGGGGGGGGCAAACAAGGCGCATTATGGGAGATGTACAAGTGGCGTATGAAAGATTTCAATTAATCATTACATTACACCAAGATATTTAACATAATCTTTCATTTCAAGGTTTGCGTAGGCGTAAGTCGCAGAATCAAGCATTCTAATCCAAGGTATGTCGGGCATTTTCTTTTCTTTTTGTTGTTTTTTTTTTTAATGTTCAGAGTTGAATGGCCCTTTGCCATTCGTTGACGTTGGCAAGCTCAAGATTACAAGTGATTGGAGTTTCGCCAGATTATTATCTGCAGATATTATAGCTCTATTGCCAGCAAATAGATAACAGGCAATTAGCGAAGAGCAGTCTAGTAGATATTATTGCAGTCAAGTGTGAATAAGAGAGGTCCGAGCAATGAGCCTTACGACACGCCACAAAAGTTCGTCTCAGCCTTAGACATGCCGTTACTGACTTGCGTAGTTTGTTTCCGGTTGCTTAGGCATGATCTGAACCAGGAGTTGACTACTCCCTTCATACCGTAATTTTTAAGTTTAGCTAATGAAATCTCATGGTTAACAGTGTCAAAAGCCTTCTTCAGATAGATCGATGAAAGCACCGCACGAAAATTTTCCATCGTCCATATTTTGGAGTAAGTGTTTACAATGTCAAGTATCGCATGCTGAGTAATGTGCTTACTGCGAAAACCATATTGCAGATCGTAGAGGATATTTCATGATGCTTTTTTCCTCACAAATTTAGTAAGTCTGGCATACATAAGTTTTTCCAATTAATGTTCTATTTTAGGTTGAGAGCAGTGCCAGTCTGAGGTATAGAAGCAGTTATTACCCACTCTAATTGATTTTCTAAACCAGCGGTCAGCCATGGTTTAGCAAGGAATTTTTGATACGATTAGATATACTTCTTAAGACGCATTTGTAAGATCTAGAAAAAGATTGATTGACATCATTATGGTTGCAAATATCATTCCACTTAATAGTCTGCAAATCGTCAATGAAATTGTATGCGTTTAAACCAGAGTATTCACGGATCTTAGGCCTAGGCCAAACGTCGAACTTTTCATAAGACGAACCAAACTTAGTGAGTTAAGCTATGAAAAGTTCGACGTCTCGTGGCTCAGTTAAGTTCGTCTGAATGAGTTTGGATCTTCCAACACGTTCTATCCTTTTGCTTCAGACGGATAGAACGTCTGGAGGTTGGCTCCGGGACAAACGTCGATCTTCACATGCCACGATCTTAACTAATAAATTAAAAATTTGTAAGATAATGTATATTCAGCCTCGTTCAGGAGAATATTCATTAAAATTGCGTTTTTTGGTTTGATTCATTTGATTGGTTGGACGCGCCCTAAGTTCGACGTCTAACTTAACAGTCGCAAAATCTCGTCCAGCGAGTTGCTGGCAAAATTTGCATACAGATGATCTTCTACCCAAATTAGAATTGGGTTCGCCTTATGAAAAGTTCGACTTCTGGCCTCGGCCTTACATTTCATATTTTGGGAAGAATGATTTACAGTGCGATGTCAGTATGCATTTTTGGGAAAAATGATCTTTTTGTGTCGTAGAAGATATTGCCACCAGCTACATTATTATCAGCATTATTTATAAATGTCTTGTCAACTAAAGTTGCTGAGTTACCATAAACTCTAGTTGGCTTATCAATAACCGGGAACATTGGAAACCTTTGCACCGTTTTACTGTAACTACAGGTTTCATATTTTAACAGATTTATGTTAGGTTTATGTTATTGGAGGCAGGTTAAGATAATGACCTGCCTCACTTCAGTAATGACTGATAATAATGCAATGCAAGTTAATGCATACCATCCGTGTATTCTGTGACTATTTTGTGCATGATCCCACCCGCTTGAGGACTGCACAATATGTCCCCCTCCCCAACATTCAAGACTTTTGAGGTGACAAACACGGGCGAGATCCTCTCTGCTCCTTCCAAGATCACTGGACAGGCATAAATAATAGTTGAATTTGGTTCCACAATCTTAACATTCTTAGCAAGCTGCACATTGTTAACTCTCTGGGGATCTGTGTAGTCCACTTGAACTTTTCCACCTGGACAGCGAGTCTCATCCCATGCCCTGCATCGACCTTCGCCCTGTAAATTTAATGGAAACTTTTATTCAGAGCTACAACGACTTCACCGCTGTTGACGGTAAGTGTTGGTGTTGTTTAAACTATTCTCTCCGTTATTCAGGCCATTACTGGGTATGCCATTGTACGCTTCTTATACGATAGAAAGCCTATCACAGAAGAGGGCCTATTATTGGTTTTCTCCAAACGTTATTAAACAGCGGATCCAGGTCCAGTCATGACTTAGGAATAGCAATCATTTTGGAATTTTTAATGACGACCTCAGCAGTACAGTGCTTTCCTAGGTATTAATGTCTAGTTGGCTTGGCAGGTATATGTGAATCACATGACGAAATACCTGTAATTAGTTGTGATCGTAAAACGTCTAGTGTTCAGTGCGATTGGTACAGGCAAGAAAAGCAGCTAGCTTAACTTCTCATCAGCAAAAGCAGATGGAGAGGGTATTAGTGCAACTTCTGCGAGGAGGTGTTTCACAAAGTAACGGACTTTTCTTTCAGTTTGCCAGCGAGCATCTTTGCTTCCACCCTCGGAAGCACGGGAGCAGGTACTTGGGACGACGGCATTTTCGTGGGCGAAAGTTCACAACGAGAACGGAAAAGTCCCTGGGCAGCTATTCTAACCAATGAGTTAACCCATTCGTCCCTGACCCGCCCCTTAAACGCTCGGGCGAATACTCGTCCCTTGTATCGCTTTTGACCTCGTCAGTTTTAAGGGTCACCTAACTTTTGAAGGGAGGAATGATTTTTCGAACCATACCAGAATGAGCACGATTCAGTCAAGGAGGCCGGAGTAAAGAGCAAAAAAAACATCTAAAGTTGTCCGAAATTCCAATGAAATTTCTTGTTCCACTACCCACCCGCACCCCCTTGCATCTTATCCTACGATCCTAAAAGCTCTCCCAAAAACCTTTCCCACTTAAATGAAGCCTATGAAATGCCCAACAAAAGAAAAAGATCAAGCCGAGGGAAAAAATGCTAAAAAAAGAGGGATGGAGGGAAAAGAGAAAAGTCAAAGTCAAGTCCCAAAATTTTGATTTCAGCACATGATCGATCTTACGAAGCAGATATTATGCATCTGGAACAGAGGGCCGCGAAGTGCACGAACTGTCAACCGCTTTTTGGTGAGATTTAGCCCTTTATATCCAAGCAGTGGCCAGAAAACGGCTCGATTTTTCGGCAAAATTCCCAGGTGAGAATGGGTTAATCCAAAAGCATGTCGCCCACAAAGACATCATCGTGCCTTCTAACTGCCCCTGGGTCTCCGAGGATATTTGCTTCGGGAAGTTTCGACCAAAAAAAGTGTCATAGGTTTTATTCATTATTTTACCCTCTACATTGAAATCACGTAAACTCATACACTGATTCCTCATACATTGCCTTAAGGACGGTGAATAAGATATGAAGCTACAGCTTCAAAAACAATGCGTCGAGCTGGCAATATGATTATGTCTGTTGTAGACGCAACCTAATGACAGTTAACGCCTTAAAGGCTATAAACCTTTGACATGAAAACGTCAGATCTAGAGCATGCAATTACAAAGCAAATGATGAACACCGACGCTACGCCATTTTACGTTTTGCCATCTTTGCCTGCCACGCTGAATTCGAATAGGACGAAGGGAGTCTATTGTAGACCAGGTAAACTCAAAACCTGGCCAATTTGTAACAAATTCTTACAGTAGTTTTGTAGCATTTTTCCAGATCTTTACACTTTTGACAAGATTCTTTGGTTGCTCTTCCATCTGGGTAGTTGCATTGTTTTCTTGTACAGTCCACGCTCTGAAAAAAGTAAAAAAAAAATGACCAAAACAGTTAGAGTGCACGTCAAGTAGACTGTTCTTATACCCTATTTTTCTGTTAAAAACGACTTATTTGTCCTTTAAGTTCATTTAAAGTTATTATTTAACACCTTTTCCCCTGTACAGATGAAGACCCACTGAGATATACGAAGTAGTTAAAACTTTTGGTAGTTACAAAATATGAACTCGGATTTAGCAATATTTCCTAACATAGTTAATGAACTCACAAAGATGTTGCTGGAACATGGATTCTCGTTTCCCACAGTGTAGCAGTGATAGTAAAACCAGTCAGGACAGTTTAATTTTGGAGGTCCTTCAGCAAAGCCCCCAACGCAAGAACGTAGGCTGTCACACCACCCACAAAATGGATCTGTCACGCAATCAGTACAGCTTTCGTACTTTCCGCAGTAGGAATACGTACAACCAAAACCCTGTAATAATGTAACAGAAGTAATAAAAACTTAAAGTTTAGCAGCTTTCCTATTTCTATGTCTATTTATTTATTTGTGTATTTTTGCATTGGTTCAAAGGTTGCTGTTTTTGTGTTAACGAAACATAGAAACACATCTTCACTTCTGGTAAGCAGTTTTGACTCATTACAATCTACATGTAATTCGTGATACATAGTTTCTGCAGATACACTAGTCCTCTAAGAATATATTCTGAAGGGGGGCTGTAATTGCAGAGAATATTCTAAATATCACCGGCTTAATATCAACAAATTAAACAAACCAGTCTCGAAATATTGAACACTTTCTTGAATACGCAGTCTCGATTCTACCCCCATCTCTAGCTAGCTATATACACGGTGGGACCAAACCACCCCCAAAGGGCTTATCAAAACGTGACAGTTTCGATTGATTTAAAATAACTTTGCTTGCTTTGACTCTTTCCCGACCAAACTTGGCCTGAAAATTACTAAACATCAGGGCTGAGTTGCTCAAAGCATAGTTAGCTTTAACCATTGGTTAAGCAGTATCAAAACCAATACGTTGTCAAGGTATTAAACGCTGGTTAACGCTAACCATGCTTCGAGCAACTGGGCCCTGGCCAATTGAAATGTTTTATAGGATGACACCAAATGTCAAATTATGACGTCACATTTGCTGACGTCATTCATACGCAAACTTTAAACTTTTGAATCTCCCAATTTTTATATCATTTTTTAAAGAACTATTCAAGGGAAGTTGAAAGCTGAAAAAATTTTTTCAATATCTCAAATATAAGCTGAGATATGACATTTTGAATTTGGATAAATTCGGAGCACAAAAACGGGGCACTCCCTTGTAAAATAAGTCTAAATTCAAGAGTTTTATTGTCGAGTCACTCTTGCTATTTAAGTTACACATAACACATCTTTGCTTCGAAAGCTAAAGGGAAAAGAAAAAATAAAAAAATAAATTCCTAACTGCGCAAAAACCTAGAAAACAGTTTTGTGACGTCATAAAATGTCACGCGATCAATTTTTTGGTTTGCTTAAATTAGTGTTTTTGAGTCAAAAAATAAAAATCTAAAATGATATGAATTTTGGCCAGCTATAAAAGGTTTGTGTCACCTGAAAATCAGCTTTTTTTGGAAAAAAACTGTGAAAAAAAATATCAGAGGGATCGTTTCTTAATGAAAAGTATTGTTCCGAGGGGTGCAATGAAATTTCTTTGAAGTCCCATAACTCGAATTTTACGTGTCGTAGCCAGAAACGGTTTTCGCTGTTTTATTCCCCTTCCAAAGCTCTTTCAAGTGATATAAGTTTGACTTTGAAATGATAAACTGCATTTAACCCATATTGGTGACGTCAGCCTTTGTGACCTCACAATTTGACATTTTGCGTCAAACAAAAACTTAATATCATTTGGTCAACAATCGTAGTCTATCTGGCAAGTTTGGTCGAGAAATGAAACGAAATGTAAAAGATACGTAAATTAAGCCTTAATAAGGCCTTTGGGGGGTGGTTTGGCCCCGCCGTTCGTTTCATCCCCTGAAGTTAGAAAGAGACGTGAATACGAGAGACCCTGGGAACAAGTTAAGGTTGTTGAATTGATCGATGTCTTTTCTTGTGGTTAGTAATAATAGTTGACTTTAACTTGAGGCAGCGTTAGAAGTAGCAAGAAATATGCAAAGATTAAAAGACGTTTGCAGAATTTCGAGAACTAGGCTTGCAACAGAAAAGAACTTGCACATTTTAAAACAACACACTTATTTAGCAACAAATCGAGTTTTATTACTTTATGCGATGCAACTTGGACGCAACATTCTGTGACTTTGCTCGTCTCTCTTCTAAAGACTATGGTGTTGTGTTTCGTTTTTACACAACTTTCAACATTTTTTTCCCAGCAGGCGAATTCAATGACGCACACTTAGATTCCTATGTATTTGATTAATCGTTTATCTCTATTCTTTTCGATATGAATCTCGGGCCATCATACAATATAAAGGCTTAAGGTGAAAATCTGCCATTCTTTCTGATCTCGCCATTATTGAAACAACAAAAGAACCGGGATTCACAGTTTTCTCCAACAGTCAAATAAAGGAGGTCCTCAAAAAATGTACTAAAACGAATACAACGTTACAATAGCTTTATTTATCCGTACTTGGAAGAGACTCACTCCGATCCACAGAGGTACCGAATAGAAATAGTAATTTTTAGCTGAGTTCTGCGGGTAGACGGCGTTAGCAGAGCACCACGGATTAGAAAAGATGGTATCTTTCTTTCCAATATTTTTTTTGTCATCATGTGCCCGTACGGTGTGCGTACGTCGGTCTGTCCGTCTAAGCAATACCAAAATTCCACACTTACTCAAACATAGCGCCCATATTGCGAAGCTGTCGTCGTATCAAAGTTAGTACGCAGCTGTCAAAATAGGGTATTCCCTGATGGCCGTATCGCTAGCTCAAGTACCATAGCCATCGAGTTCACGCCTTTTTTGAGTTATACACTGACCAGTTGATCTACGTTTATTTGATCACTGGCTCAAGTTTGAATTTTCTGTGTCAGAGGTCCTTATTTCGAAGGCCATTTAACTGGAGTTCGTACTTTACATAAACGCCGCTTTTAGACTTGCTTAAATCTACATTACGACTTATAGATATTTCCAGCATTAACAATTTGCCGTCAGTCCCGTTCGAATTGCAAAAAGAAGCAGACCTACCAGATATCCCGGATAACACTTGCACACATTAGGACCCATACATTCGCCGTTACCGGAACAGTTCTGCAGATCATGGCAGTGGAATTTAGAGCAGTCTTCTCCAGTCCATCCCGGATAACAGAAACATACCGCACCCACGCATTCTCCATGATGAAAACAGCCATTTGGACAATGGACAACTGATAATAGAAACAACAACAACAATAATAATAATAATAATAATAAAAATAATAATAATAATAATTTTTAATTGAATTTTTTTTCGAATATGTGTTATATTTTTAATGGAATAATTTTTTTCAATCGAAATTAAGTGTCTTTTTTTTAATCGAAAGGAATAATGTAAATAGTGCTTTCACTGAAATTGATTGTAAATAGGATTTTATAGTGAGCTTTGTTATCAATAAAAGTTTTGATTTATAATAATAATAATAATAATGATAATAATTAAACGGGAGTCAAGATATTTCATGCCATTGTACGCACTAAAAAGAAAGACATAGATCTCTTAGCCTGTTGATACCTGTCTTTCCTAACTAAAAAAGTCGAGGCTGTACAATTGGAGTTCAAAGAGAGATTAAATGGAAAAACTTAGAGGGACTTAAGGAACCAAGTCTTTTTATAATACGAAAGAAATTAAACTTACTAACTTCCAGTTTTTATTAGCAGATTTACGTCAGCTTCATCCATAAGAATTATTTTGAACAGCTTTTATCTGCCCATTTCTATTCAAGAATTTTTCAACTTGAATCTAATGTTTGCTGTTTGCCGTAAACGTGATTCCAAATATCTCTAGTGTTACATGCCGGTTTCTAAAAGTCAGGGTTTCTACCTGACCCCACCCCTTTCTGTTATCATATGCCTACCATACCTGGACGCCTAACACAGACAAATGGAAGGGGTCGATCACATTCGGAATCTGTTATATTTCCAAAACTGTCCACAATAGAGCAAACCTCATTTCCTCGTTGAGATACACCCTAAGATAGAAAATTGCAAGTACGGTCAAACTACAATAAATATGGCTTATTCTTGGTTCGTAATCTCCTAATTTACATTTAATATCACATTTAATTAAGCCACATTTGTCATGTGTGTAAATGGTGCGCTTCCTGCATGATGTCGATTACGCTCCTTTCAGATAAGCAATGCATTGAAAATTTTCCCTAATGGTGTAAAAAGCTATCCGTTTTTCTTTCTTAACAAGTGAGACAGGAAATACTAAAAGGGTGCAAAATTCACGCGCCAAAACCTCCTGAAACTACACTGATTGTAGACTCCTTAAGTTATGTCCACTTACACTGTACTTTCACTATGATAGAGCAATTTATGAATAACAGGATGGCTCAGCTATAGAAAACCCAGTCTTCGCAGTCATACGAACCCTCTATATGGATTTTGTCAATCATCTACGCCGATCGCACCTGAGATCCGGAAACGTTACCTTGACGACACCTTTACCACCATAAAACTGTTCTGATTTTCATGTCTTTCGGAATTTCGTTGATTGTTTGTTTGCGTTTGAGGTTTCAATCGTGCCTAGAGTCTCACTGCTAAGATTAGGTTTGTAGTCCAGTGTTCATCCGCCTCCCATCACATTGGTGTTGGACAGGCTTTCGTGCAGTTATTATCTTTTTAATGGGTTTGTTAACGCAAGTGGCATTAATTTTATATCAAAATAGAATGTCGTCCCTCGAAGAAAGCATGTTTGGGATTAAAGCTGACCGTAGGTTCAACCTACATTCTATCGTTGACTTTCCATTGTCAACCTTTCATTTGTTTTTCTTGCACTTAATATGTTCAACCTTTTAGTAGGTTTGTTTACAGCCACTTTCGAGGGCAATAGAAAGTGCCTTGAGAACTCCAATGGATAGCAAGCCCGAACGTATCTACTTTTAGCTATTTACGTTGCCAATACCTGGCGATGTTAGTTAGTTGAAGGTGGGGGGTAAGATCGAGTGAAAAAGGATATATAGGATGTCAGAATTCAATAAAAAAGAAAAAGAAAAAAAGGAAAAACGGTGGTGGGTGCTTCCATCATACAAGTTTTCCTTGCCAGGGAAGACGTGCGCATGCTAAGAGAGCTCAGCCTCTACTTAACCCCCAGACGTACACGCAAAGTCATACCCCCACCGTGGTACGGGGTGGGGGCTTGATGGACCCCCCTGAGTTTTTGATATATTGCAATATTTCGAAACGATTTTGCCTTCAGTGAAATAAGCCTTTGATCTCTACAAGATAAGGGTATACTTTATTGGTGGTGGAGCTGCTGAAGGCCTGTGACGTCACCAAACATGGTCGCCATCTTGGCCGCCAACTAGGATTTTATCAAGAATTGGAAATCAGGTCAAAAGAGTGAGAATTAATAAATTTTTGCGCTTAAAATAACTAATTTGCATCATTTTATACACAAGCTTTACTTTTATTCCTTAAAGAAGTTGAAAAAACGTGCTTTTACAATAACAAAGGGCTTGATAACCTGCTACTTATGACGTCATATCTAGCAAGCATAGTAACTGACCATTTCTAAACATGACTCAAAATGCGCGCGAGAGATAAACAAACAGCCACAGAAAACTTCAGGTGCTGTACGTCCGAAGGTTGAGTCCTACGGTATCGATGTTGTTGACTTAAAACGCAACGAATTGAATCGGTTAACCGTGAATATTTATGCCTTTTTTGATATTTCCCCTGAAAATTTGCCTAGAGCGAAGGACAAGTCAACAGCCTTGACAGTTGTACCTGTGGCCATGGGAGCGTTTTACTTTGTAATTCTTTTTCAAGGTTTAACTGTTATTAACTGGTTAAAAAATAATAATAAAAATAAATTTGGCATTTCTTATTTACCACATTGGCGATCAAGTTGAAGGCTAAAAATGCCTGAAAAACAAAAACATTAAATGATGTGGAAACCGGCCTACTGTTGCTTTGGTAAGAAAGATGTATCTCTTACCTTTCTTACAATCCTTCTTTTCATAGTCCATAAGGAAGGGACAACCGTTGGTATTAATAAGGATTCTTTCCGCCTCAATTCCTTGACTAGTCTTACATCCTCATCAATATACATAGATATGATACTTCCACCTGATCTCTGTAGAAAGTTGCGTGACATTTTATAATAACATCAAAAGCATGGTATATAATCATGGGCAAGATTGATGGTTCGTCATAACCAGGTGGAATGATGGTCCAAATAGGACTGTTAATTTGTTGTTATTACTGATTTTAGGTGACCTCTACTACGAGGGTCGTGGATGAGGAATCCTCAGGAAAGCACATCACCGTAGCCCGCCAAATTTCAACTTTAAGCGAGTGGCGTCCAAACAGTGGCTGCTTCGTTTTTCGCTCACTAGCTGTCGCTGTTATGAAGTCGTAATGAACTCCTTTATTTTAGTGAGCAAGAGATGTTATTTTCCTCTCTTATGATCAAGGAATAATCAAGGGAGTTTTTGAGGAGTTTTTGCTGCTGCATGATCCGTGCAAGCCTCAAATTCTAAATTTGCCATACGTCTTGAACACAGCATTTGACCTCCGTCAATAATAAAAAAAAATTAAGCTGAGAAAACGTAGGAGGACTTAATTAATGGAAAAGCAGAATCTTGATAAAGTTGAAATCAATCCATGATAGGTTTTAAAACCAGTCATTGAAAAAAAAAAAAATAGGAAAAAAGTTGACTTTTATACTCACGTAGTAGTGACTACGCCACAAGAAAGGTCTTTACGTTGTACGTGTAAAATTTGGCGCGGCAGCGAAAGGTGCTTTCCAAGCATGCGCACTGCTTCATCTTTTGACCTTTTTTACTTTCAGTCGCCTTAATTAGTAGAGGTCGGCATAACGATTTTGCTTACCAGTACGGCAGTCACAATCAGAGTCTTCATCACAGTTTTTGGCTCTGACGATGGCTATCGCACAGGTTGTCAAAACGTCAGTCCCTATCAACAATACTCTTGTTCACCCGGGAGATCAAATTCCACCTACTTATACCAGATTCAGTTAATGCATAAAAATCGGTGTCCGAAATCAATCAATATCATCGATATTAATCGATTTAATCTACCAATATCGGAAATCGGTAGATATCGAAGTCACAGAAAAAATAATTTACCGATTAACAAAATAATTGATAACCGTTGATTGGAATCGATAGTAATAGATAACAATCGACAAAAAATCATTATCGAGTTCTATCGGAAATCGATGTTTTTAAAATCGAAGTCACAACTTCTTTTCTTTATCGATTTATATCGATTGATATCGGAATGATTGATATCGATTACTATCGATTATTATCGATTATCGGCTTATGAATTACCTACGTCTGCTTATGACATGGCTCTTACGCTTAAACAATTTACAATCTACGTAAGTTGTATGTACTTATGCTAGAATGTCCAGAAAACCAGTTGTAATAATTAAACATCGGACACGTTCTTGTAAATAAATTTGAAATATGTTGACTCGTATCATGTGTAAAAAGGTCTAGGTCTGAATGGGATTTGCTGTTTAACGTTATTTGCCCATTTTCCAGTGTCAAGTTTCGATACAGCGTCAAAGTATTGTTTACCAGCCACTTTCGAGATAACAGTCCACTTTGTATCGGTTGCTAACGGTAAAAATAAATATACCCGTTTGTCCACTGAATCGATTCACCCACCTCACAGTGCGCCACAGCTTCTTGGAAACTGAAGGAACCTCCACTGTACAAGAAGCACAGCTCATCTTTTTTAATCCAGCCAGGCGGGCATGACGCTGAAATTTAAGGGAAGCATCGAAATATGATAGTAACCAGCATTCTGACGCTACTTAAAAATAATTTGAGTCACTTATAACGTTTTTATTAAATAATCTATCACGGCTATTGAAAATTGAAAGTTTGAAATATATTTTCGTTTTAGTCGAATTCAAACATACCGAATTTTTTACCTCTTACGGAGGTTATTTGTTAAACACCAAACTTTAAGTTCCTAGCAAAGGATTTTCAGTAGCAGGTCTAGATCGCGCAAAAGTAGGCGTTTATCAATTTCAAAGTTTTTTGTTTATTGTTGACATAGTAATATCGATTTTACTTAAAACTACATTTTCACAAATTTCAATCCATAGCCAATTACTGGTGAGAATTTTATAGCGATCAGACAAGGATAAAATCACTTTTGAAAGAGTGAAAAATATCGGTATGGTCCCTGTAAAACTATATCGAAATACCTTAATTATCAACTTTTTTGTTAACAATAACTGAAAGAAAATTAACCGATAGTCGTGAAAGGGCCAAAACTTTAGCCGGTAATCGTAAAAGCCACAACCCCTTTTAGACCCCCACCTAAGGCTAAGATATTTAACATTTAACTCGTTGAAACAAAAGAAATGAATTAAAATTTCCTAGCATCAAAATATGATAATAAGCAGCATTCTGACGCTACTTGAACTTTTTTTTTTTACCTCTTACGGAGATTGTTTGCCAAACACCAAACTTCAAGTTCCCAGTGTTCGATTTTTCAGTAGCTGGTCTAGATCACACAAAATTCGGCTTTTATCAATTTCAAAGTTTTTTGTTTATTGTTGTCATAGTAATATCGATTTTACTTAAAACTACATTTTTCACAAATTTCAATCCATAGCCAATCACTGGTGAAAATTTTATAGCGATCGGACAAGGAAGAAACCACTTTTAAGGCGATTGAAAAATATCGGTATGGCCTTTGAAAAACGGTATCGAAACACCTTAACTTCTTTTGTTTCAAAGAGTTAAATGTTAATAAACTTGTATTTTTTGTATCTTTAAAGCAACATGAAGGTCCTTGCGTCATCTCGGGATGAAATAAGTTATTCTCTTGAAAAATTTTAATATTTGGTAGATCAGAAATGTTAACTACCAGATTTTCACGATGGAAAATATTAGTTCCCGCAAACATAAGTTTCTACGAGAGCGTTATTTTCGATCAGCAAGACAAAACTACAACAAAAATTTCGTGTCACACCGTATCTTAGTATAAAATTCATTACTTTAAGAGTGCTTAAATCTTATACCCTTCAGCTCGATTTCCCCATCTCAGTCAAGCAACAGGGGTAGTTGTAGATCTAGCTGCTGCTGGGTTGATAAAGAATAATGTTCTGTTTTGCCGCTGTTTTTGGCAAGGCGTTTAATAGGTCAAATGACCCTAGACCGAACTTCCTGGCTTGCTTGTTAAGGCAAAGAATGTTTTTACCTGTGCTTTTTCTGGAAATCATTTTTGTAAGCGACACCAACAATAGTTCATGTAATTGGACGTTTGCAAAGCTGCCACAAATTACCAAATGGCTTTTTGTGGTTCTGCCTTTTTTTCGCTTAGTATTACTTCTTTGACTGATTTCTGAGGCACTCCTTAAAACAACTTACCAGAAGTTACGACCTGAGGCTGCAGTTCAACAAATGGCTCATATGTGACTGTTACCGACAGCCTATAATCTTTAGTCTTGTCAAAAATGAGGGGTACAATGAGTTTAAGAATGCCAGCTCCCCACCAGTTGGATGTTGCATTTACCACAGTCGGTATACCTTTTAGTGATGTACTTATTTGATAGCGGTTTCTGGGATTCTCTAAAATGTTGTTATGCATATTTGCTGCCGCGTTGCAAAGAATAGTCACGCCAAAATTTACTCCTAAGCCAACATTCCTGTACAAAGTGTTGTTTGCGAAAGTAAGACCAGTAACATTCGCAGGAGAGTGGTCGTATTCCAATACATACTTCCCGCTGTTATTGTAAAAGAAGTTTCCTTCAACATGTGCTGTCGCATTTGAGATCTTGAAAATGCTGTGCTCGATCATGTCCTGGTCGGTTGCCACGTTCACAGAAAAGTAATTGTTTGTAACTTTAACGTTCAAAAATGGTCCAGAAATTCCCTCCAGGAACAGAGATCTACCTCTGTTTAATTCAATTGTGTTGGCATGAAATTGACTGATTGGCAGAAGGGGTATAAGTACGTCATTCTCCAATCTACAATGGACAGTTCCATTTTTGTTCCCAGCAAAGTAATTGTTAAATATTTGAAACACTTGATTTGCAGCATTCAAATAAACTGCCCCAGGAGAGTTTCCGTCAAGGAAGGATTTCAGGCCATTGTTCGTAATTCTTGAACGTTGCAGTCTGAATATGTGGCTTTCGGTTTGAGTAGCATTATAAACGATTCCGTGATCCAAACTTCCACTGATAGTGCTTTCGGTTATTGTGTGTATGGTAGAGTTTGCTGTAAAGAAAAATTACACATTATTCAACCGTTCCAATTAAAGCTGTTATTTTGCAAGGCAAGGTAATTCTGTGGCCTGATTGTTGTACTGTGTCTTTCCTTCCTTCGTGTCTTTAACTTCCTTTCAAGTTTCATTGTTAAAACAGGCGTCAGAAAATTTGTGATCCTCCCCAAGTATGGGTCAAAAAATTTTTGGCCCTCCTCAAATCGGAGCCCATAAAATCTTAGCCCTCCTCCCAAATTTGCCGGTCCTTCCCTCTCCCGCAATACGCAATGACCGTTCCTTTAAATACCTTGACTTCTTGCATATTGTAGCGTCACATATCGCAATCGATCACCAACCGTTTCAGTCTCTAAACTTTACCAAAATACATTTAAGGAAAAAAAGTGAACAGTTCCTGAAGAGGAGAGGTTCTGACCCAAAAACGATGTTCCCCTTTGCATCCGATCGTCGAAAGACATTTAACTCACTTTTAGCATATATGAAGAAATAAACGTCTTTTCCACCCCTAACTGTAAAACAGGTCATTGCAAGAAAGTCGGAGCAATTACCCTGGGTCTAGCTGTTAAAGCCCATGTGTAAAGCATAAATCTTGTTCTCTTAGCGGTCCAAAGCAACAACTAACAAGTTTGAAAGACTACTTGGCATCTTCCAAATAAAAAACAATTCAGTAGAAACCAAATTAACTGACATATGAATTAAATGTCTGGAAGTGAATTTAATAATCCCAGTTGAATGGAAAACCTCTGAGTGGTTAAAAAGAACTGCAAAATGTTCGGACTGACTGGGAATTAACCGCCTAGGTTGCTCATTCAACAGCAAGGATCACATTTACTCTCATCGTTTTCACCGCAGTTCACATAATATTATAGGATTTAAAATATAATTTATTTCATATACATTTGTCACAATGATAGTCACTTTCATGGGAAGTAGAAACACAGAGTTTATATTGATTTTTAGTAAAAAATAGCATATAAGAAAATTAAATAAACCAAACAAACAAAGGAACTTACAAGAGTTGCAATGTCTGAACTTAATGTCGTCTATGATCACGTAGTGACCCCCTCTGTCAATGTACCCCAGAAAAACCACGGAATAGTTGGACAATGTTGGAAGTTCCAGCACTTTTTTCTTCCAATCGTACGTTGAGGCTTTTGCGTTCCATAATGTAGTTATTTTTTTTCCAGTGTTATCCTCAATAAAAACTGAGAGCGATGCATGGCCAAAGTGATTCAGAATATAGTAAAAAGTTAAGTAACAATAGCCATGATCTTGCAACACCGGCGGGCTTGTAAAGGCACCATGTCCGTCACGGTAATAGAAGAAGCCAAGCCACATAAAGTTAGCTAACAAGAAGACAGATCAGAAAACAGAAAACAATCGTTAGCGCACAGAGAATTCAGTTATAAATACTATTTCCAAAATTATAGTTTTATATCTTTGGACGAAATGTCGGAAAACGTTTTCTCAACACGAAAGGCAATACTATGCATGTGCTCGAGAACAGCGCAAGGGGAAATTATTATTCAAACCCGAAATTCCGTAGCATTAAAAAATAAATTTGACATTTAATGATAAAGAATAGGTTTTCTAACAGAGAATTAATATTTCTGATGTCAATTTGTCACATTTGCAGCTAGCGTTGAGCTTTGAACAAGATCTTTGGTCAATCGTGAATTAAAAATAGAACTCTAAAACTCTGAAATGTAAATTGTTACGACCAAAAGAGGTACATGACGTCAACAGTCACGTGACCAGATCGTTTTGAATATTTTAGTTCTTTTATAAAGTAGATTTTTTGTTATAAATTGGCAAGTTTTTGTTGTTTTTCTCTACATTTCTTTACACTGTATTCCCTCTGAGTAATTAGGGATCCATTTTTAAAGCAGAAGCAAACGTCGACTGAGCCAGAAGTTTAGAAATTGCAATTGACCGATATTGCAAGCTAAAATCGCAAAGGTCAAAAAGGAGAGTTACTTTTGAGAGTTTTAAAGAATCCTCTTT